AGTTAGTACATTTTCAGTGCACGTTTTGTCTTTGTTTCAGTTTCAGGGAACTAATTTGATGTCACATCTTTTTAATATAACCATATAATATGGCTTGACTTTACCTCCTTTAGTGATCTATTCATCTCAAAGTAACCAAAATTTCTTTTCTTTTGAAATTTATATTACAATTTCCACACTTGTTAATAAAAATAAGGAAGAAAAAATGGATTGTTGGCACATCAATTTCATAAAATTAATTAACACGGCGTGACTTCCTTTTGTGATATATCCAACTTGATCTACAATTTGCAATCACACACTTGTTTTTGTTAGGAGACTTTGAATAAACTTTATCCAAATTCAGGAGTTATATTAATGTAACTAGCTTATTACTCTTTTCTTAGATCACATCATATCAATATATCTCCACTTTATTTGATTCATGTAGAATAACTATTAAAAATAAAATTTTGTGCAGATATTTTATCTTAATTATTATTTTAGCTAAACATTATAAGATTAAAAAAAATATATATATCTTTTTCATTTAAACAAAATGAAACCTTATACACGTCAAGCTAATAGCCTTTACATTGACTAGTTGACCTAAAAGGACTATTAACTTTTTCTTACAGTGTACTGAACGTGATATAATTTTCCAAGTCAAACTATTTGGTTAAAACTTATGGCAGAATGGATCATTTACGATAGAAATTATAGATTTCTTTCTTCTATCGACAATTATTGTCCTTCTTTTAACTTTGAAGAAAACTACTAACTTCTGAGTTAGGTTTACGTCTCCTCAATTCTCTTCAACATATTAATTAGAATATCATAGAAATTCAAGAAAGAAAAAATTGTGGATAAAACTTGAAACGCAGCGTTTTATTAGTTAAAGTTATACGCTGCGCTCCATTAACAAAACCACAACCAAGAACGTTGAAGAAGAACAAATCAAAAGCAGGGGCTTTAAGCTTAAAACCCAGAAAAGAGCAGGTTCAGTTTGTTGCATGGCTGTCAAAAGTACATATAATCATTGCCAAGTTTTACAGAAGCAGTTAGTTATCATTGTATTCGTTTTCTCTTTAATGAAAAAGTAGTACAATTTGCGCTAGATCAAGTTCTCTCTGTTATTCGTTCAATTGCTCAAGTTTACTAGAAAATTCTCATTGGGAGATAATAAAAAAAGGTTTTGTACAAAACTAAGTTAGAAATTCTTGCGGCTATGATTTGATCTATTGGGTTTTCCAATTGAACTGAACTGTGATTAACAAAATGACAATTTTCTAAATTAGACAGTGTGTGGTGCAGGAAAAAAGCTTTTCGTCCTAGAGTAGAAATTAAGCTAAATATCATTTTCATACATAACTGTTCGCTAGGGTAGAAAGTAGTAGAAATTTCAATGAAAATCATAATGGAGCATCAAAAGTCCAATGGTAAGTTTTGGTGTGCCCATCTCAGTCATTATGTTGAACTGTCAATGAAAGGGAAGGAGAAAGGACGCAGCTTGACGTTTATCTAAATATATAAGACAATATCACTATCATGCTGACTTCTGAGGGCCACAGGACATTTAACTCCTCTTGCTGAATTGTATTAGGCGACTTGACTTGTAAATATCTCAAGGACACTATCACATACCAGCAATAAGTGGTTCCAATTCATTGCTCTTGTTCTATACAAATATATATATACGACAATATCTTGAGCTTTCAATTGATTTCACAAGTCTTTACCTCCTCTTGTACGTTCATCCAATTCTGAGCAAGTAGACATCATCTTTGCTTATGCCCTTCATTGTTAGTAAACCAAAACAAAACAAAATTATCTTTGATATTGTTACTCAATTGGAATCTTACCACAAAAATCATGTCTTTGATTGCTCAGAATTGGATGAACATATATGACGGTCCAAAGTCTATGAAATATTATTACTTAAAATATAGTATTTCGAACAAATTATTGAGTAATACTTACAAAGAAATGAATATAAAATCTTATTTTATGCAATACTATTACTACAAATAATTTTTAAATGTAACCTAATATATTTCTAAGCAACCCTTTTTGGCTTTTTTTTTTAATCTTGCTTTTCATTCTATTCCAAATGGCCAGCCACTGAGAACATAGTGATTGTTATAATATATCTATAATATTAATTAATTTTTATTTTGTTAAAAATAAAGAAATTAGGTAGATTTTAAATAAGTATAGTCTATGTTATATGATGCGACTAAATCAATTCTAGCAAGTGCACTAGTCGTGTTTAAGTAATAAAGTAATGAGTTGAATATCGTTCCACAGAGTTTAAATCAATTATTTGTAATTACCTAAAACTGCTTACACGTTATTAAGAAAACGAAAATTTAAAATGTAAAAGTAACGGATTAAAAATAACTAAATTAAACAAATAAATAAATTCATCAATCCCTTACGATTAATTCGCCCTATTCGATTATGAATTAGATGGACTACAAATTCATTCTAGAATCTCTATTCAATTACTTCTAGTTTTAATTGTGCAATGTCATTCCCATAAAACAATTATGAATATGAATTAAGCAATAAACCCTAACTTCCCTATGTGAATAAAAGTAATGCTAGCCTTACTCACTCTCTTACTCATTTCTCTTACTTACCTTTGTAAATAAAGCATAGTATGGGTACCATAAGCATGGTACGAATACCATATGTCATTTTAACAAAGGTGAATAAGAGAAGTGAGTAGGGGGAGTGAGTAAGGCTAGCATTTTTCTTCAAATCATCATCAAGGTAATTGAATCAATCCAACATTCATAAAGTATTAAACCTAAACTCTTGCACAAATTCATAAATGTAAATCTGGTATTAAGAATAAAAATTGTTCAAAACATAATTAGAGTTACATCCTCCCCTAACAAAAGAGATTTACTTCATCCTAAGAACAAAAAAATAAATACAGAATAAAGAAAACATATTCAGACTTGAAAATAAACAAAAATCAAACTTTTAAATCTGATTTTCAATCTTTAAGCCTCAAGAATGCGCCTTCTCCTCTAAAAAATATGCAAAATTCGTCAATTGACAACTAATCTCAATTATACTTAAATACCTAAAAGAGTCATAAGTGAAAAAGGAAAGAAAAACTCATAAAAATACCATAATAGTTTCTGCCACAACCTTGACCGTGGCTAAATTTAAGTCACCACCGCCTAGGCCGTGGCTAAAATAAGTTAGAAATTCTTGTGGGTATGATTTGATCTATTGGGTTTTCTAATTGAACTGAACTGTGATTAACAAAATGACAACTTTCTAAATTAGCCAGTGTGCAGTGCAGGAAAAAAGCTTTTCGTCCTAGAGTATAAATTAAGCTAAATTTCAATGAAAATCATAATGGAGCACCAAAAGTCCAATGCTCCAGGCTTAGTAAGTTTTGGTGTGCCCATCTCAGTCATTATGTTGAACTGTCAATGGAAGGGAAGGAGAAAGGACACAGCTTGACGTTAACCAAATATTTAAGACAATACCACTATCATGCTGACTGTTGAGGGCCACAGGCCACTTGACTCAAAACAAATCTTTGGCCCTTTTCTATACTGAAGCTGAAGTTGCAAATTATTGAGTAATACTTTACTTGTAAAGAAATGAATATAAAACTTTATTTTATGCAATACTATTACTACAAATAATTTTTAAATGTAACATCATATATTTCTACGCAACACATTTTGGCTTTTTTTTAATCTTGCTTTTCATTCTATTCCAAATGGCCAACCATTGAGAAAATAGTGATTGTTATAATATATCTATAATAATTAATTTTTATTTTTGTTAAAAATAAAGAAATTAGGTAGATTATAAATAAGTATAGTTTATGTTATACAAATTTAATTGAACTCATTACATGTAAAACCATTATAAAGGCAATATATTTCTTTGAACTTGATAAATATGATTTTGATATAGGACAAATCTCTTATTACGGGAGAATTTCTTTCTAAATGGTTTTTAATTTGATTTACCGTTAAGAAATTGGAACTTTTTTCATACAAATTTCTATGTTAATATCATTTCTTTTATTTGATGTGATTAATAGTATTGACAATGATCGTTTTCAAACATTGAAATGTGCCGATGACCAATTGTATTGAATAAAAAACTTATCAATAATTATTAAAGTTATAATATTTATCATGATGTTGAAAATTATAAATTATCTCACTTTTTGAAATTCGCCTCTTTCTTGAATTCTTGACTTCACCCACTGATTGGATGATTGTGCATATTATTGTGACACATGAGATAAATTTTCTCATGGTAACCTGATCCCACTTATTTCAGGCTTTGGTTCATGAAACTTGTTATCAAAATCAGTTATCTAGAAGTTCACTGTACCGTAACTACTAAGTCTTGGACTTGCTGATCTTATTCGTTATATCGAGTTGTCCATGAAAGGGGAAGGAGAAAGAGAAATGAAGCAGCCAGACATTTTGAGCTGTCCATGAAAGGAGCTTGCCGATCTTATTAATTACATCGATCTTAACATAAGTTTGTGTTTGCGGATGAACGTATAAGATGGGTCAAGGATTTGTGAAATCAATTGACAACTTAAATTGGTGTCTCTTGTGGAAACGTAATACAAAAGAATTGTATTTCAAGTGAGTGTCCTTAATAGTAGACTGAAGCTACAAAGATTTTGGAGCCATAGAAGTCATTATCATTATCAATACTACTTACTTGGAGCCATAGAAGCCATAAAAGCCTTTGGCCCTTCTTTTACGTTTGTCCGTTCTTAATTGTTCCTCCACTTCTGAGCAAGACCTCCCTTTCTATACGTTTGCCACTTCTGATATGTTTGTCCAGTCTTATACGTTTGCCCCTTTCTATATGTTTGATGCTAATATTTGGCCCATCTTATACTTTCCTCCAATCTTGAGCAAAAAGTCATTATCATTATCGTATAATACTTTTGACTAGAGTTGCAATAGCAAATATAGATGACGTTCATGTAGTGGGGCTGCTTTGCTTTTATGAAGTCATTTACAACAATTATGAACTGCCTATAAATTCATCTCAATTCTTGTAGCTTAAGCACCATATCTTGATTATCTATTCTACTTACATACATCATGACGCCATCCTCAAATTTCTTCTCATTTATGCACTTGCTTGTTTTGTTCTCTTTATTTAATCTTATAGTCCTGGCTCCCTTCAATTCCTCTGCGCAGACACTCTGTCATGATGATGAGCATTCTTCCTTGTTGCGGTTCAAGGAAAGTCTAGTCATTAATAAGTCTGCTTCTTCTGATCCTTTAGCTTATCCGAAAGTTGCATCCTGGAAAGCAGATGAAGACTGCTGCTCATGGGACGGTGTCACCTGCAATGAGGTTACTGGTCATTTGATCAAGCTTGACCTCAGTAGTAGCTGCCTCTACGGTTCTATCAACTCTACCAGTACTCTCTTCCAACTTGCGCATCTGGAATGGCTCAGCCTGGCTGATAATGACTTCACTGGCTCTAAGATCCCGTCCAAAATCATGAACCTTTCTAAGTTATCATATCTGAACCTATCTATTTCTGGCTTCTCTGGTCAAATACCGTCAGAGTTCCTAGGCCTCTCAAAGTTGGAGACCCTTGACACATCAATGAATCTTAACTTGAAGCTCCAAGAGCCAGGTCTAAAGAGCCTAGTTGAGAAGTTAACTCACCTCAAAGTGCTAATACTTTCCCAAGTCAACATTTCTTCTTCAATACCTGATATCTTGGCAAGTCTATCTTCGTTGACCAAGTTATCCCTCAGGGATTGTGAATTGCAAGGAGAGTTTCCAGCAAAGATATTCCAATTACCCCACCTTCACTTTCTCAGTGTGCGGTACAATCAAGGCCTCTTTGGGTACTTGCCAGAATTTGAAAAGAGCAGTCCTCTTCAATATATGATACTAGCAGGCACAAGATTCTCTGGTGAGGTTCCATATTCAATTGGAAATCTTAATTCCTTAATTGTCTTGGATATTCAAAATTGCAATTTTTCAGGATCAATTCCGTCTTCACTTGGTAATCTTACCAAGATCACTTATCTTTACTTATCTGGAAATCAATTTTCGGGCAAGTTGTCAACTCCGGTTGGAAATCCATCTTCTTTACAAGAACTGGACCTTTCGCATAACACTTTTTCAAGCCAAGATTCTCGTTCGTTGTCGTGGATGGCTAAGTATAGTAAACTTACTTATTTAGGCCTTTCACAAGTCAACTTGTTTGGTGAAATTCCCTCTTGGCTCATGAACCTAACACATCTTACTCATTTATATATGAGCCAGAATGAATTAAAGGGTCCTATTCCATATTGGCTTATGGACCTAAGCCAATTAGAGGAGCTATCATTGTCATCTAATCGTTTGATTGGCAATATCCCTTCTCAAATTAGAAACCTAATGCAACTGCAGGTTCTTGCACTTGGTTCAAATAAATTGCAAGGCGCATTTCCTATCGCTCTCTATGACCTCGAGAATCTTCTTGTGCTTGACCTCGCTTCGAATAATCTGAATAGCACAGTAGATATGAACATGCTTTTTTATAAACTCAAAAGTTTAAAATTTTTAATTCTTTCCTCAAACAATTTATCGTTGCTCACCGATACCAAAGTTCATACAAAATTTCCAAAACTTTCAGTTCTCCAATTGCGGTCGTGCAACCTTATTGAGTTCCCAAATTTCTTGCAGAACCAAGATCAATTAGAGATTCTAGACCTTTCCTCAAACAAGATAGCTGGCCAAATACCTGGATGGTTTTTGAATTTGAGTGTGGAATTTTTGCTACGCTTGAACCTTTCCAACAATCTTTTAACCGGCTTTGACCAACATCCTCTTAGTTTTTCATGGACTCGACTAGCAACTTTATGCTTAAGTTTAAATAAATTTCAAGGACCACTCCCAGTTCCCCCACTGTCCACTATGCGTTATTTAGTTTCGTACAATAATCTGACAGGAGAAATTCCACCAGCTTTATGCAATTTGAATCAGTTGGAAACTCTCGATCTATCTCACAACAACTTAAGTGGCAAGCTTCCACAGTGTTCGGGAAATTTCAGTCATTTCCTACAACTACTAAATCTGAAAAATAACAACTTTAGTGGAGGTATTCCTGAAAACTTTGTGAATGGAGAAAACTTGTGGATGATTGATTTAAGCCAAAATCAATTACAAGGGAAAATTCCAAGATCATTGGCCAGTTGTACAAAGCTAGAATTTCTTGATCTTGGAAACAATCAAATCAATGATACTTTTCCATCTTGGTTGGAAACACTTCCAAATTTAAAGGTCCTTATCTTACAATCTAATAGATTAAGGGGCGCCATAAAAGAGCCTGAAACAGACTCTGCTTTTCTGAAACTACGAATCATCGATATCTCCCATAATAGATTTACAGGTCATCTTCCATCAAAATACTTTCAATCTTGGGATGCCATGAAAGTTGTCAATAGAAGCTCACTAACATATATGCAAGATCCGAGGTCTAGTGAACTCAATATAGGTATTGATGAGATGATTAATCTTTTACCATCGATTTACGATTACTCAATGCAATTGAGTACCAAAGGCATAGAGTTGGAGTACGGAAGGATCTCAAATCTCCTCACAGCCATTATTTTCTCGAGCAACAAATTTGAAGGACAAATTCCAGCATCCATTGCAAATTTAAAAGGGCTTCATTTTCTCGTTCTTTCGAACAATAATCTCAAAGGCTCCATCCCACCATCCATGGCAAACCTAACAGTATTGGAATCGTTGGACCTTTCCAATAACAAGCTCTCAGGACAGATTCCTCAGCAACTGGAAGATCTCACATTCCTTTCATACTTCAATGTCTCAAATAATCAGCTCACAGGACGCATACCACAAGGAAAACAATTTGATACATTTGAGACTACATCGTTTGATGGGAACCCAGGATTGTGTGGGAAGCAGATAGCAAAACAATGTGGAGATTTTCCGCCTTCAAAGAAAGAGGAAGATCCTGCAGGCTCGAAGTTTCCACTTGAATTTGGCTGGAAAATAGTTCTGACAGGGTTTGCTAGTGGGATAATAGCTGGAGTGGCTCTTGAGCATGCTTTTTCTCCAAGGATAAAGGTATTGTTCATGAAGATTTTCGAGAGGAAGCTCATGAATACATTCCGGAGAAAGAGAGCTCACAGAAGCACGATGTAAGTAGCTTTATTTATTTTTTGTTCACAGAGTTAATAAATGTAGCCTTAAGGATCATCTACTTTTTCACGTAGTCGTGTTTTCTTCTAGCAGTGTCTTTACATTTTGTTGCCATAGATTCCATGATTACTCGCTTTAATTTGTTAAATTCTTGCCCCAAAACCAGGTTTGGAAATTTAAACCTTGAAAGCTAAAGCAAAGCATCTCACTCCAAGAACTAAAAGGAAAAATTGAATTTGTTGTAGTGTAAGTACCCCGTCATTGAGCTCGTTCTTGTCAAAAGAAAGTGTCACCAAAAGGTGGAGGAAATTTGATACTCCGGTTTATATGTAGACATTATTGTTCAACCTCCCTAATAATAGCTCACTAAGTAATTTTAACATGTAACACATTATTTTTAAAACCCCATTTTTATTCTTATAGATTATGTGTATATTTTGTGGTTTTGTTTTTGGGAAAGGGCATTTCTGTCACATTTTAAAGTTTCGTAGGGGCTGAAAACGAAAGAATGGAAATGGTTGGGTTTGCATGAACAAAGGGAAGAAAACTTGACATTTTTGGAGAAAAGCCTGATGTTGCGGGGTTACAGTGAAATAAGAGAATTCAAGGGGGAATTTCAAAACTTCTGGAAAGTTAAAATTATAAAAAGGGCTGATTTTCGCCCAGATGAAGAAAGAAGAAGAAACCGCGAGAAAGAAAAGAAAGAGAGAGAGAGGAAGAAAAAGAGGGGAGAAGAGAAGGGAAAGAAAAGAAGAAAGAACGTTCGGCCGATCGAGAGGAGGAGGAAGGGAAGAGGAGAGAAAAAGGAGAAGAAGAAAGAAAATGGAAAGAAAAAGAGAAATGAGGGAGAGAAAGTGAGGTAAGTGTCGGCCAAGTAAAGATGAAGGGGGATCACGCGAATTTTTGCAGAAATTGTATCATGCATGTAGGTTTTAGAGTGATTCATCTCACTATTTCTTCAATTTGTGTAATTCTAATTCAATTTTGTCAATTTGGGTTGTCAGGTGAAGAGAGGGATGATGCTTGAGGCAGCTGGGCATTTCGGGTTGAGCTGAAATTTTTTGTGAGTGGATTAACCGAAAAGTCTTTTAAAAACTTAATTTCTGTTTGCATATCAAGTTATTTATTTCTATTATAATGTTTTGGGTGCAAAATCTGGAGTTCAGTATGTTATTTGCTAAACCTTGTCTTGCATGTTTTGGCTGAGCAAATTTTTGGGTGATAATGCATTAGCTCTGGTTCCAAAGTAATGACTTTTCATGCTGCATGTTATTTAAATATATGTATATGGCTATCTCATGAAATTTGATGTTGATGGCTGCTTGATATGGGGTGTCGTTGGCACTATAGAGAGGAATTGGCTTCGGCTTATGTTGAAGAGTGGAGAAATTTTATATTAAGCAGATTTTTAGTAATGGGAAATGTTGGTGTTGGCTTATTAAATTGTTGAATGGAATATATATTTATTTGGAATGAGACTTTATCAAATAATTAACTCTTTTCTTTATTTATATACACATATAGGTGTATAAGGTGCATTTGGTGTTTTGTTCTTCAAAAATGGGCTGTTGGCTTAATTTGGAGATAGTTTTGCTAATCAAAGAGTGAGTGGGAATTGCACAAAATTCTTTACTAAAGGATGAGTTTTTAAGCTTGCATGTTACTTTTAAGTTATTGCCTTTCAATCACTTGGAAATTATGTGTGAATTGAATAATTGAAATGTTGTTTTATTTGGTAGAAATGAGTTGTGGTTGATGTTGTGTGAAGAGTAGTTGAAGAAAATATATATATATGGGCAGCAAATGTTGAAGGTTAAGGCTTGTATGTTAAAATTCGGGTGAATAATTTTAATTAGCATGCGATACACGTTGTATGCCAAATTCTAGTATGTTTTGTTTTAAATTATTTTACTAAACTATTGAGTTAAATGTGCTGTTGGTGGAATTGACTTCAAATTGGCTGGTAGATTCAATTGGAAGTGTTGAAATGCATGAATAAGTGGAATTTTGATATCTTTGGTAAATTGGTTGAAGGAAAAACACAAATGGGTTAAAATATCAGTTTTGAAACATGTTTAAAAATTTGCAGTCTCACCCCCATAATTGACATTTTTTAGATTGCATGTTATTTAAGTGAAGTAAGTCATATGTTTCCATGATAAGGACATTATTAGATGATATTTAAGTATTGTTGTGGTTTTAAAACCCCTAGCGAAGTACCCACCCCCCAGATTACAAACTTTATGCTCTATCCATGCGATGTAAGGTTGCACTAGGTATTGAGATATTCGGTCTTCAGGCTCTACCATGTGTATTGAGATATATTAGTGCTCTGTCTGGATGTCAGTGTCTACCAGGTATTGAGATAGTTTTCTTCAGGCTCTGACTGTGCGATGATAGATCTTGTCAGGTATTGAGAGATTTTCCCAGCTCTGCCTGTATGTGGGATGCCCACCTTGTTTTGAGATATTTTCCCCGGATACTAGTTGTGGTGAGAGTTTTCAGTACCAGGTTCGAATTTAGTATCATAATCAGTTTTAGTTTAAGGAAAGAGAATTAATATTCAGCTCACAGTATTTAGAAAACAACTATTACATGGTTAAGAGTTTGAGCTCATAAGCATTGTTAAGATAATTGCTGGATATACATAAAACATTGTTTTCAGAATTTTCTTGATGTGTTTAATTGCATGTTTTAGTATTTTTGAAGAGTACATGACATTCATTGAGCATAATTTCTTTTTTTCATAAATCTGACTGTTATAAACATGCTTTTTGAAAATGTTTTGTCAAATGATTTATCCCAATCTCCCGCTTGTTGAGCATTTCAACTAACCCCATTTTGGAAATGCTTTTCCCCTCCCCAGGTTCTCAAGACGGTCATGCCGAACAGTGAGTTTTCCGCTTAGGGTTGTGCCACGCATCTCCAGATTTCTCTTGTGTGTATCTTGTTTATGTTGTGAGGACAAGTTTTATATTTTATGTAACCGACTCATGTTTTCGAACATTGTCAAAAACATTTATGTTCTTATTTCCGGATTTCAACTGTGTTCTATTTCCATGTATTTTACTCTGTGTTTCCAGACTTTTTTTTAAGTTGCTAATGACATATTGTTTTCAGATTTCCAATTACGCGTCTACTTTATTTATGTTTCTTATGGGAATAAATATTATTGATATGTGGGTTTTATTCAAAGAAAAACAGATTTTCACAGGTTTTCCACACGGCACATCTCGGTCACCCAATTCTCTGGGATAGGAAGGGTTGGGATGAGTCGTGTCACTATTGTTCAGCCTCAAGAATCTTGAGCTACTGTCATTGGGTAATTGCTCTAGACTTGTGGCTTTCCCAGAAGAAGGGTTGCCCAATTCCAGCCTGAAATCTCTTCTAATTTTTCTATTTTACCGTCTGAAGTCTCTTCCCAATTATTTGTATAAGTTTGCATCGCCCTCAAATTTGAAAGCACAATATGTAGCCGATTGTGAAAGATTTATTCCTGTCTCTAAATGGAGGCCGCATGGACTCAAGCATCTTAAAAAACAAATCATTTTCTGGGGATGCCCATGAACAGAACTTGAAGATAAGTAATGGGTTGCTTTGCCAGGGGAATACTTTCTTACAACTATAAATGGAGGTGAAATTTCAAAATTCTCACGCTTATTTGGAGAATTTTGACAGTTCACCAAATTCTCAAGCATTTTGTTTTTGAAAATATATTGATTTTGAGTTGATGAAGTTATAAATTTGACTTAGCTGAATCCTGAATGCCACTATTTCTGCAACAATATTTATACAATCAGCTAATAGAACAAATAATAAGTCTTTGTTTTTGTAACCAGCACTTTTAATATCACGTGGAGAGCAAACACAGCAACATTGCTGCCACTATAGAAACTCCAATGTTGGCAATATTGGTTTTGTCACTTGAACTTGGTGCAAGAACAGGCAGAGCACCAGTAGGGCTAGACCTGAAGTCGAACTCAGTATCATCTGGAGTGGAGCCATTGGCCACGGCAGGTAGCGGCGGGTCAACGATATCTGCTATATTCAGGGATGGGCTTGGGGCGCTTATCAGCGGCTGTACTGGTTCAGATATTATACTAAGCATATCCCCTATTGTAGCGGGTAAAATTGTATAAGGCAGATCAGCTTTAAGGTCAGAACATGGGCTTCCTGCAATTTTTTAAAGTAAGTATAGTGAATAAATATTTGTTTCTTGGTTGCGAGTAATCATGATTTTATTCAAAACTCTGTTACAATCGCGTCTACGCCCATTCCTTCTACATAAGTTGCGAGTTCTATGACTTCATGAATCTTGATTCTAACAAAAATAATCAAAACAAAAAACGTTACTTTACTTCCATGTATCGAAAACAGACTATCTTTTCTTGATTTATTTCTTTGTTCTCATCGAAAGATCTGAGTTATTATTGTCAAGATAAGAACTTGAATGAACCGTGTTATTAATTCTTACCAGAGACCACAATGAGGACGAGGTCTCCGGAGAAATTCCCAGTGGAGATTGTTCTTCAATCCAAGCCTCCTTATGATATGATCAAGAAATGAAAGTGGAGTCACAAGATGCATCTTCCATTTGAGGCAGAAAGCAGCAAGAGCTCCATTCTCTGAATGGCTTTGGCCTCGAAAACTATTTGACAACAGAGGGTTTTGCGTCACTAAGTAACACTCTTTTTTCTGAAGTGAATGAAAATATGTAATGAGGCTGGTTTGAGTTGGGGCCTTGGAGACCCGTTTCTCCATGTGGGCAGCCATTGAGCTCCTCAGGGTTTCAGTTTCAACCTGTGTTTGCTCAAAGCTGAACTTGAGCCTGCATTTATATGCTCTAATTTGGTTTTGTTTTTTTGTTTGTGTGTAAGCTTGGAAAGGGACTAAATTTCTCAAGTTCTCAGAGAACGCTTGAATTACTGAAATAAAATCCAATGTTTCAACATGAGAATGTAGTAGTTTCAACACTTGATGGCTGAAGTTAACCCTGTGGTTGTGGACATGAATACATTAATAAAAATACTTGCTAAGTGAAATGCATTCTCATATTGGCTCTCAACACAGTAAATAAGGGTCAAGTAGATAAGAAACAGCTAAAAATTGAAGTGTTTAGTTCATTCCCATGATCTAATTGTGTCTTGCATTACAAAATATGTACAAAAATATGGAATTAATAGTAATCTTGATGTCAATACGGATGTTCAGTAAGTGCTACACAAAAAAGGATCAACTGTCAATGAAATCACCACCAAGAGTCACCTTAAGTGCAAGCTGGACTAGGTTTTTGGATAGAGAACGCCTTCCGATTCTTATTGTCAAGTATAAATGTGACAATCACAAATGACAGTAAACAGATGATGAAGAAAGCAATGGCTTGACACGCTATGAAAGGTGGTTTGTAAAAAACATGAGAGAAAGAACAAGAGAAAAAGTTATAAGACTATATCGTACAATAATTCGATGTACGGTTCGTCTACATTGTCTCAAAAGGATTGGTGATACAACATTCGAACATCAATATATCAATCATTCTCTTCCATTGTTCATAATCGTTTGCTGTTATCAGTCCCTCATAATACCAATCACTGTTCATCCTAATGTGAATCACTTATCCTGTTCTTGAAACAAACAAGAAAATAAGATTAATTTCATTCATTTATGATCAAATTTGAAGAAGAAGAAACAAAATTACCTCTAACCAACATTGCAAGTAGTAATTCCAAGTTGCCTTTTCAACTTTCTTAACATCAAGCTGCTTCTTCTCAGACCATCTTTCTTCCCCTGAACCAAAGCTTCGATTAATCATTTCAATCAAACTCTAGACCTGCCAAATCTGAAGCAGCAAAGAAACAAAATTGAGCGCTAACAATAGTTGATAATACTAATTCAATTGTGTCTTCAGTAGTGCCACATAGATTAATGCCTAAAAACAAGCTAGAGTCAAACCAAATTGCAATCGATGCAATCTTCACACTTCTTTCATACAAACTAAAGATCACCCAGACAAACAAAGTTAAACAAACAGGAAACACAAGCGTCCCCATTTTCTGCACGCCAAGTTAAACAAACAGGAAACACAAGCGTCCCCATATTAAACTCATGGGTGAAAATTCTTAATTCCGAACTATTCAAAATGTAGCAAAAATAAATAAATAAACCATTTAAAATTCTTTAAAGAAACCGCTCTACTAAACATTTTTCAAAATGAACATTTCTTTGGTTTGAGAGTAAGTACCGCTTGAGCAAGTGAGCTCTTGTCAAAAGAAAGCTTCACGAAAAGGGGTGGAAGCTCTGATTGATCCATAGAATTCAAGACTGGAATCACTAATTCGTCTTTGGAACCCATGAGTGGAAACTCTAGTTGATTTTTGGAACCCATGCGAACAGCGGGGAAATAGACAAATAGTATGAACGTATGTAACTAGTAGGTGACTCAGATATTTGGAATCGACCCAAGGGTAAATTGGTAATAACACAACAGAACCAACACAAGGGTAAATTGGGAATAACAAACCAACCAAGTTCCACCAAGCATAAATACATCACACCAATTCACCGAAGTTTTTGCCTTTTGGGGTTTCCAAACGGCCGAACGACATCTTCTTTCCTCCGGAAGTTTGCCTTGACGACAATTTACTCTCGAAGGGTCATTACTTTAAGAATGAGGCTTTGCTCTCGAAGGGTCATTGTCCCTTCCCTTTGATTTGTTAGTGAAGCCAGTGATTTGCACCAGCAAGGTTACCCATCATCACCAACAGCAACATCACCATTCTCAGCTTCCCAACACAACACAAACACAACACGCTCTGATCTCTCTCTGTCTCTGTGACGAGGCTGTGATGATGACGGTGTTTTCTATGTGAAATGATCCGACGGTGGGGAATCCCTGCTTATCATGGCGAGGCGGCTTCTGGGTATTTTTGAGAAGTGCTCGTTGCTTCAGCCATGGTGGTAAAGTTTTGATCTTTGTCTGATAAAAGGCGAATCTGAGCCTCTTTTTTTCTGGGGTTTCTGGCAAAGTAATGACACTCTTCAGATTAAGGCTATAGTGAAATGGCCGATCTCTCTCTCTCTCTCTCTATGTATGTGTGATCATTTATGCATATGTACCAAAATGACCTCTTTGCTTCAAATAATTCATTATAAATATCCCAAGTCTCTCTCTCTTTCTTCAGAGGTGAATGCAATGAGGCTGTGATGAAGTTTTCTGGCTTTGTGTTGGGCTCTTTCTTGGAGACCCATTTCTTGGCGGGGCAACCCGGATACATCTCCATGTTGCAGCCATTGAACTCACTTTCAAGTTGTGTCCACTCAAAGCTGAATCTGAGCCTATATTTCTGCTCCCACTACTTTTTTTGTTTTTTTGTTTTTTTTTTTTGGTTTTTAATTATGATTTGTTTTTCTTTTTTTGTTTTGTTGGGATATTGAATTCTAACTAATGAAGTTTTCTAAATCAAAATCCAATCTTTCCAACATATGGATGAAACCTTTTCAGGACTTGGGCTGATCCCAGAAAGTTTTACTTCGGATTCTCAATTTGAGATGTAAAACTAAATGATCACAAGCTTCTGATAAAAAGCAGAGAATTTCTGGTAGATATGTAATATGAATACCTCTATGCTTTGCATAGAGATAAGGCGTCATTCAAGGATTCCATTCCTAGTACTATGACCAAAATGAATACCTCCCCGATCAGGGCAATGGGCCTAACAAAAACTAAAATAAAGTTTTCCGCCCTCAAAGAAAGAAGAAGATCCTGCAGGCTCGAAGTTTCTATATGAATTTGGTTGGAAAATAGTTCTGATAAGGCATGGAGCTCTTGAACCTGAACATGCTCTTGATCTGAAACTTTACTGATAAAGTTTATCTAAGAAAAAACATGGAAAAAGCAGAGGAACAACCAAACTGCACAAAACGTTTGAGATCAATTCTTTTGAGCTTTGTTTGCTTAATTCTCCAACAATGCATAACCATGTCAACAATGAGGAAGAGATGGTTGTCTGAGTTAAGGAATTTTGATTGGAGAGAGTTGGGCTTATCCAGCACCCGATTATGGTGTGGCAAACTCTGAAGAGTCTGAAGTGAGAGCTCGTGTCGGCCTCTTGCTCACTTTGGTTGTTTGTACTGTGAATGAACCGCACTTTGTTATGCCGTTAAACGGCGTCCTCGCTGCTGCCATTTGACGTCCGTTTGTACAATCCTCTCCCGACAAACTTTGTTAAAAAATTCAATAAAGATAAACTAACAAACCTTTTTTATTAACTTTTTTCTATAAGTACGATGTGATAGTTTGTAATTAATTTACTCGTAATTGATCAGTAGGATTCGTTATTGGGTAAACGAGATTAATTGCTAACAATCACGTTTGTGAAAGAAGGTTAATAAAAAGGATTTGTGAGCACATTATTATCTTAAAAAATTATGTTTCGCCCTTTATACGATGCAAGAAAATGAAATAAGTGGTTTGAAAGATTAGACACGTGTTTTGGGATGGAGATGTACACGTTTACATTAACCATAAGATGATAAAATAATTAAAATCTTCATGAAGTTTTAAAAATAGTAAAAATTTCTCTTTATAATTTACATGTTGAATAAACAACAAGACAACAATTTGATAATATTTACTTATAATATTATCAGTTTTAATGTCTCCTTTAGGACTTAAGAGTTTATTAATAGAGAAATGTTATATATAAAAAGACTCTTACAAAATTTTTACACAAAGTGATGTGACAGCCGTCACACCATTAGTTTGTAAAAAAAAAAAAAAAAAAAAAGATTAATGTGAAACTAGTAGTGTGACAGTTGTTACATTACTTTGTACAAAGCATTTCCCTTATCAATAAGAAAAAAAATCTTTTTAAATTTTGTTTACTTATTTTTAAATGAAGAGGCCTATTAACGGCCATTTTGCGACATTAACTAGCGGTCTTTAAGAGCATATCCAATAGACTCTTTATATAACCTAAACTCTTTATTATAAAGAGTTTATTCATAGAAATAAGAGTCCAACAAACTCTTTATTCTTTAAATATAAATTAAAGAGTGAATTTGACTCTTTACATTTAGAGAGTCAAATTTTAATCTTTATCCTAATTTTAAATAATAAATTGTAAGTTTCTATGTACATTATTTATGATTTATCTCTCATATTCTTTTTCCTAAATTTAAAGAGTCTATTAGATTTGAATAAAAAATTTATTCTTTATATTTAAAAATTAATAAAGATATTTTTTATTTATGTTAAAGATACTCTTCAAAATAAAGAGCACAATTGAAGATCCTCTTAACCGTTATTTCAAAACCGCTAAAACAGTATACGTGTGACTACAAATTTTCAATATAAACGCCACGTGTATACTCGGCTTTAACCTTTAATCAATGAATAAACTCGTGAAAATGGCCAGCGGTTCTTTCGAGGAAACAATCAAACAAAGAGAAATTGAAGTGGCAAAATTACTAACTCAAATCAAACATCAAAATATTCTAGTTTAAGTAATTTTCGCAGTGTTGAATTATACTTTCTTGTATATCCCAGTTTGTATTTCCGATAAGAAATTAAATAAGAAATTAATTTTCTTTTGGTTTGTTCATTTGCACTGTAATTGTTTGTTATTTTGCCTCAGTGAACAGAAACCATTTGGTTTTGTAGTTTAAATGGATCTACCCAGGCCTTAAGATTGCTTCTTTTGTAATTGCGCATTTATTGAACTGACGGAAGTGCTGCAACTTGAATAAAGTTGATGAAAGATAATGATCTTGATTGTGCTTGCAAGAAATGATAGATTTTCATTTAGCATAACTTTTGTAAATTGTAAGCTTTGTTGACAAAAATTTAATGGTTTGAAAGTTCATTGAAAGCACCTTATCAGTGGCTAAGAATGTTACTTCTGATATGAATGGTAGGCAGGGTTTCGGGATTCAAAATCAACTAGATTTTGTGTATCTACGATGATGGTAGATGGACCGTCTTTTGTAGGGTGAATAACTGATTGTTCTGTTTCCTTTTTCTGATAATTATATGTGCATTATTGTAGCTTTGTATAGACGTTGCTGATATTATATCATGATATGTTTGCATTAGTGAATGGTAGAAGATGGCTAGAGAAAATGTCACACTAATGTGTTACTGGAATGGGAGGATAACAAATGGAGCACAAGGCATTACTTATAAAGGTGCCGTCCCAAAGCCTACAAGGGTTAGCTACGAAACAACACATAATCAGTTGCTGGAAAAGATGTATGAGATTACTGGGTTTCACCAGCAACATATTAAAATGAAGATCATATGCAGGTATCCAGCTTGTCAGGAATTCATACTTGTGCCCATTACTGATGATGAGTCTTTAGACATTGTATTTGATGTGGCACAAAAGCCTGGAACAAATTGTTTGGAATTGTATTTGGAAAGAGAACCAGCAAGCATAGATAGCCAAGTAAATATCACAACACAAATCCATGTGGATAATCAAGTCATAATGTCGGACTACTATGACAATCAGGTAAATATACATAAATTTCTTGATGTCATAGGATTAATTTTCGTTGCTTTAAAGTAAGAGTTGTGACAATTCTTTATACAGATAGTAGTCGATTGGGACAAATGTAATGCCAACCCTAATACCTTTTTGGACCCAGGGCCAAGTGACAAGTTTGTGCTTGTGTTGCAAGACTAGCATAGATCTGAAGCCATATGGGCAGGAGAGGTTAGTATCACTTCCTTGAGTCCTTCTCTAGCCATCCGCTATAGTGATTGGTTCAATACAAAATAAGTGAAGAAAAGTGAAGTCAACGCAATACTTTGATTGCAAGACCCTAGTGTCTTAACATGTAGATAGAGATTGGGCACAATGATGCGGGAGTGGCACCATATTCATCATTTTGTTGTCGAGGCTGGGTTCTATGGGGTCTACAGAATTGGTTTTATTCAAATTGACTGGCCCTTGGTCACTGCATTGGTTGAGAGATGGAGACAAAAGACACACACCTTTCATTTTGTTGTGGGTGAGAATGTAACAGTGATGTTAGGCCTTCGTATACATGGTTATCCAGTGACTAGTAGTGCTAACCTCCAGTGGGACGATCTCTGTGAAGAGTTGTTAGGGGTGAGAACAGATCCTAGTGTTCTTCATGGTTCAACCTTGAAGCTTAGATGGTTACGAAGGCCATTTCCAGCATCTGCCATTAGATGCTGATGCTGTAACTATGCAGTGCTATGCTAAGGCATATATCTTAGACTTATTGGGGTCTCTCTTTCCAGATAAATCTGGTTTGGATGTGCAATTGATATTCTTACCTCTTCTAAGGGATTTTAAGTATGCTGGGAAATTTAGCTGGGGTAGTGTTGTACTAGCCTACCTTTATCGTGAACTCTGTCGGGCTAGTAAGAAGGGGGCCAGTGAAATTTCTTGTCATCTAATGTTGTTACAGGTATGTATACTAAAGTGTACTTTCAAGAATAGCATATAGAGCATAATAATATTTTTTTCTCTTGATATTATGTAAATTCTTATTCTTGTAGTTATGGGCATGGGAGCGTTTGCATATTGGTCACCTTAAGAGATTTGTTACCCAAGAGTAGGATCCAGTTGCTCCGATGGTGAAGCTGTAAAGAATGAGGTGCAAGTTTCATAAGTTGAGATGGTCATCGAGACATTACTGCAGATCCATTAGATGCAGGTAGTATAGCATACTACTTCATTAATATATGCTTTTCAATATCCTAGTTGTCTTACAACTGTTTTCTTCTAGAAGAGATGGAGGTCTCCTGTCATCCGTTGAGATACCCTCAGAGGGCATTGATTTTTATCGAGACCAGCTTGATCAACAGACATATGATCAGGTTTACTTTTGACTAAGTGTTCTTTATAATCTTGTACATTTGATGAGATGCACATGGTTGTGCTAGTGCCTACTTTAAAGTGGATCTTCCCCATCAATTCAAATGATGTGGCACCCATACCGTATGAGTTACTTGTGTCCCCAGCAGATGTATGTGTTAGAGACCAGCATGTATAGGACAACTGCTCCACTTATTTGCTTTGATATTGTTAGTGGCATCGTCCCAACAGAGTTCTACGCCAATTTGGTCTCCAACAGAATTCCTATGCAGTGTGATAGTGAGGTGAAAATTCATGCATTGATAGAAGGGGTAGACATTATTACAACTGGAAGCACATCATCAACAATATATCAAGTTATGGGCAGTTGGAGAGAGAGTATAGTTACCATTAAGCCTAGGACACACATGCTTATCATGATCCATACATGAAGTGGTATAGAAGCATACTCATCGTTTGATTACCCCACTCACTCAAAACCTCATAAGCGAATTCAGCCTGCTAGTGGGATGTCACATTTACTGGTATGAATTATTATAAGTTATTTGACTTGATCCTGTATTTACTTGCAATAAATATTCATTGGATTTCTATGTTGGAACAGAAGTCCATAGCTTGACAAATATTCACAAATGCACTACAACCCTTGGTACTTTTACCAGTGATAGTGCTATGCAGTCATTGATAGATATTCAGATTATGTGCACTCATGTGTTGCAAATGATTGGGGAGATTCGACACCTTGAGACATAACAGCACCTACCCAACCATGCACCGCCATCTCCTTTACAAGGTAATAATATGGAGGGCTACCTCTTCTAATATCACAAATGCCAACCAAAACTAATCTCTGTCAGTGAGAGGGTGAGGTACAGCCAAAGGTCAAGCAAAGGACTTGGCATACAACAAAAGGCAATGGAACAAGTAATAACATCACAACATTCATCCCCACAGTGGTGGTAGCATCGCCCACAGCTCCATCACAGAGTTATGATATTTATATAGAGAGCCTTTAACTCTCAATTTGAGGGGTCTGCGGCACCAGTAGGGTCATTGCATCCACTCAAAGGTGAGCAGAGAAAGTGCCACTTTATCCATACTCTGATTTTGAGGGTCACTATGTCTCACTCAAGTCGACTCCAGCCATGCAACTACACATAAGAAGAAGCCTAAGTTCCTTTGATGTTTTTGATGATGAGTCTTATGTGTTTAACTTCTTGTTCTTTGAACCTGCGGATACAAACAATCTTCATTAACTTTAGGATGGAATTTTTTCAAGATTTTTAACATTAGGTTTATTTGGTACTTCTCAATATGTTCATGAATAATGTTGCCAAAGTTCAAGATTCTATCTTTTATTTAGTTGATTCATAGCAGCATATGCAGTGAAAATTAGAAAAGTTTTAATTGTAAAATTTTTCTCTCTTTTGATTGATTCTTTCTATTATTGGAAGATAGTATCTAATGAACTTCAAACCCAACTTTGCTACCTCGTAAATGGTTTTGGACTCATCATGGAATCATTCTTAATTGAACCTCGGTTCAAATAAGTTGCAAGGACCATTACTTGTTCACTTTACTTCTGTTGTGCAGCCACTTTGTCACAATGATGATGGTTTTTCTTGTGTTGCAATTCAAGGAGACATAATTATCGATAAGTTTGCTTTTTATGGTCTGGAGCATGCTTTTCAAATAAGAAAACACGAAGAGCTATGATGATTTTTGAGGGGAAACTCATGAAAACAATTGAGAGAAACAGAGTTCACAGAAACAAATATATTATGGTTTTTTTTTTTTTTTTTACTTAAGAAAATGTTGTCTTAAAATGTTATCAATAAGTATAAAGCTGAGAGAGAGTTCTTTTTGCGAGCTCCTCTCTCAAGTCTCAACATCAATATTCAATGTATTCAAAGCATAAAATTCATCCTTGAGTATTTATTCCTCATGAAAATAGATTCATGCAAACATCTTATACAGATAGAGCATAAAATGATATGGTTCCATGGGGTCAACCCATGAGCCAAATTTGGCCTATTGTCCTTCCATTGCCACCCAGAGTGGCATGTGATCACTGCTCTGTGAAACACATGGCTCAACAAAAGAGAAATCCAGTCCATGGCATCAATGATTGAGCAGATTGTGAGCACTTTCTTGTATTGGGCCTCAAAACTCTTTGGGTCTTATTTAGGCCATAACAACTCAATTATTGTTGGGGCTATCTTTGATTGTGTGTCTATCTATTTTCTTTATTAGGGTTACATTATTCTCTGCCTCGGATGCCATCTGCATTATCTTTGGTGTTTGTTTTTTGGGTAAGTATGCAGTGCCCTGGAGATTTGTTTTGCGGGGAGAGCTTGGAAAGCGAAAACGTTTGATTTTATTATCTTCAGCCATTGCATGAGAGTACTTTATGCTGTAGTTTTTGTTGATGGTTGCATTTGTCTTTCTGGCTGGTATTTTTTAAAGGCTGCTTGGGGTTCATATGATATGTCTGTCACTTCTTGTTGTGGTAGAGCTAGCTATCATGTACATATGCCGTGTTAAGTTCAATCAGACGACAAAATAAAGACTTAAATGGGCAGTTTCTTTTTTTTTTTTTTTTTTGGTGGAATTTGGTACCGCAAGAACCGCTCTGCGGCTTTGGGTGTTTTTTTTTTTTTCTGGAAAGTTCAGAGGAAAATTCTTAAACCAGTGTGTGATGTCCCTGGGCTGGTGTCATTGAGCTGGAGGGTTTATTTAGGCTTTTGGGCTTGCAGCATTTCTTTCAATGAAAATGTTGTATATTTAGTTCTAGGGCTTATGTCGGGGCCTTTTTTTAATAGGGCTTAGCTTATAGGGATTGCTTTTCCTATGTTATGCCCTGTGTTTTTTTTCAGTTTGATCCTTGGGTTGTCCAAGGCTCTATTGAGGGAAGGGCTACCCTTTATAGATTCTATTTTTTTATTCTTTTTTATTATCGGATTTATTCAAATATATATATATATATTCCCTTATTCCAAGTCTCTTAATTCGCTTTTTATACAGATGCCTTGAGTCTAAAACTCATACCTAAGGAAAGGATATTCAGGATATCGATTGTTATAAAAAAAAATTTAAGGCTAAAAAGTTCCAAAGATATTGTTTTGATTCAATTTTGTTACCACAACTTATTGAAAAAATTTACGAAGGTCGATATGTTGGTGAGATAATTGTAGGCTATTTTCGTTTATTGCTTTTTAGGTTTTAGTTCATACTGCTTTTGGTGGGTTAAGTTCACAATACTTTCAGTTCACATTGCTTGAAACTTTTTAGGAAATCAGTTATTTGGAGTTCACTAAACCATAATTACTAAGTCTTGGGCTTGATGATCTTATTCATTACGTCGAGCTATGAAATCAATTGACAGCTTAAAATGGTATCGATGTGGAAACATATTACAAATAATAATATTTCAAGTAACTATCCTTAACAGAGACAGAAACCCACAAAGCTAAAACCCGAAAAGTGAAGACTGAAAAATTGAAGAAGGGTAGGTTCAGCGTGCTGCATGGCTGTCAGAAGCACGTCTAATCATTTTTTTCGTTTTCTCCTTAATGAAAAAGCTAGAGTAGACAGTAGTAGAAATTTCAACGAAAATCATAATGGAGCACCAAAAGTCCAATTCTCGGGTTAGTTAGTTTTGGTGTGCCCATCTCAGCCATTACTTTGAGCTGTCAATGGAAGGGAAGGAGAAGGACGCAGCTTGACGTTTAACTAAATATTTAAGACAATATCGGTGCGTTTGGTGTAGATTTTGGATAGGATTTTGAGGATAGTATTAGATTGTTGGATAGGGGAGTATTACGAGGTAATTTAAAAATTTATGAAAAAGCCCTTAGGTTTTTAATTTAATTAAAGAACCTACTATAAAATGACAAAAACACTCCCACCACCTGTAGTGTCAATTCCGGCCGCCACCGCCGAATCTGGCCGAAATTTCGTTACGGCACAGACCGATCGGATCTGTGCCGTAACGCATCATTATGGCCTTTTCCGCCAGATCTACGCCTGTTATGGCCGTCGACGCAGAAAGGCCAAAGATGTGGCCGTCGTTTTCGGTCAACGATGGCCAGATCTGGCCTTTTCCGACCAGATCCGTGGTGGATCTGGCCGAAAAAGGCCAGATCGGTGTAATTCCGACCATTATGGTCGGAATTTAGGCCGTTGTACAGATTCCGCTATCACCGACGGTGGTTTTCGGAATCTGACAAGTTGGGTTGATGGGGGGTGTTTGTTAATTTTTTTTAAAAAAATTCAGGGGGCATTTAGTGAAATAATAACCTTATGGGGTCTAAAAGTAATTAAAAAAATAGGGTATTTTCTGGAATAGTGTGCCAAACATTATTTGAAGAATAGGATTGGGAATATGGATAAAAATAGGGAGCCAAACGCACCCATCACTATCTGCTGACTTTTGAGGGCCACAGGCCACTTGACTCAAACAAGTCTTTGGCCCTTTCTATACTGAAGCTGAAGTTATTTGCAGCAGGGCTGTTTTTACGATATTATTGGTAAACCGCCTATAATTCATCTCCATTCTCCTACAATGCTTCAACACCAGATCTACATTATCTAATTTATTTACTTCCATTATGGGTTTATCCTCATGTTTCTTCTCATTTATACGCTTCTTCTTGGCTCTCATTATTTCATCTTACGCTCCTTGCTCATTTTACTTCTTCTGTGAAGCCCACTCTGTCATAATGATGAGCGTTCTTCCTTGTTACAGTTCAAGGAAAGCCTAATTATCATAAGTTCGCTTCTATAGAGCCTTCTGCTTATCCCAAGGTTTTATCCTGGAAGGCTGATAAAGACTGCTGCTCATGGGACGGTGTCACCTGCAGTGAGATACTGGTCATTTATCGAGCTTGACCTCACCAGTAGCTACCTCTACGGTTCCATCAACTCTAGTAGCATTCTTCCACCTGGTCCATCTCGATGGCTTAGCCTTGGTGATAATGACTCAATGGCTCCAAATCCCGTCCGCAATCAAGAACCTTTCCGGTTCATATCTTAGCTTGTATAATTCTAGTTTTTCTGGTCAAATACCATGGGAGGTCCTGGGCTCTCAAATTTGGAGACCCTTGACTTAACGTTTTATTTAACTTAAAGCTCCAAAAGCCTGGTCTAAGAAGCCTAGTTGAGAATTTAACCTACCGTCACGTCCTAGCTCTTGGTCATGTCAATATTTCTTCTCCCATACCTGATATCTTGGCAAATTTATCTTCGTTGACTACCTTATCTCTCAAGGGGTGCCAATTGCAAGGTAAATTCCCTACAAAGATATTCCAATTACCCAACCTACGCGTTCTCAGCATGCGGTTCAATGCAGGTCTCAATGGCTCTTTGCCAGAATTTGAAAACAACACCCCCCTCGAGGAATTGAGACTTGGGAGCACGGGATTTTCCGGTGAGATTCCATATTCAATAGGGAATCTTAATTCCTTACAGATCTTGGATTTAAGTAATTGCAGTTTTTTTGGATCGATTCCGCCTTCACTTGGAAATCTTACCAAGATCAGGCTTCTTTACTTAAATCAAAATGGATTTTCAGGTGAGTTGCCAACTGCTATTGGAAATCTTTCTTCTTTAGAAGAACTGGAACTTTCTGTAAACAATTTTTCAAGCCAAGATTCTCGTTCATATTCATGGATGGCTAAGTGTAGTAAACTTACTTCCTTAAGCCTTTCAAAAACAAATATAGTTGGAGAATTTCCCTCTTGGGTTATGAGCCTAACAAATCTTACTCTTTTATATTTGAGCTCAAACGAATTAAATGGTACAATCCCTTCTCAAATTAGGAACCTAACGAAACTCGGTTCGCTTGCACTTGACGGAAATCAATTCCAAGGCCCATTTCCTAGCGCTCTCTTTGACCTCGCGAATCTTCAAATGATTTACCTTGAAGGAAATAATCTGAGTGGCACACTGGATATGGACATGCTTTTTTATAAGCTCAGAAATTTACATTTATTTTCTCTCTCTTCAAACAATTTACAATTGCTCACCCATATCAATGGCCATACTAAAGTTCCGAAATTTGGGGTTCTCAGATTGGGGTCCTGCAACCTTATTGAGTTCCCACACTTCTTGCGGGATCAAGATCAATTGGAGAACCTAGACCTTTCCTCAAACAAGTTGGTTGGCCAAATACCTAGATGGTTTTTCAACTTAAGCGTAGATTCATTGCAAATCTTGGACCTTTCCGACAATCTTTTAACAGGTTTTGACTGACATCCTGTTTTCTTTTCTTGTTCTCCTCGAGTCTTTTTAGGCTTAAGGTCAAATAAGCTGCAAGAACTTGCAATTGTAATGTTAATTCTTAATCCTAGTTTCTAAGTTTGTATTCGTAATTTATAATTATAAATAATAAAAAGCGTTTAAATTCAATTACTATTGCAATGTCTCATTATTTTATTGTATTTAATAGTGATTAATTTTTTTTTTAATTAATACAAATACAAAATGTCACTAAATATAACATATAAAAATATTTTATAATAATCATTAATAATAAATCAAAATTACCATAATTTATAAATAATAAGAACTAAATATTAAAAAAAAAAATTCATAGGTCGGCCCACAAGGCACACAAGCCGGCCCATGTGCTAGGCTCACAAGAGACTATGTAGCAGGTCGTGCCATGGACCTTTAGATTTGGCAGGCCAACATGACACGAGAAGGCACAAATTTTTGTGGGCCTTAGCACGGCATGATAGGTTTTGAATTTTTAGGCACAGCATGGCCCACCGCTAGTTCTAAGTAAAACACACTATTTTAACACTATCACATCATAGTCCATAAACTTTTACTTTTAACAATTTACCCCTCTGAACTAATTTTAACAGAATAAACTGAAATTGAAAATCCTGCACTTCTATTCAACGTTTCCCTTCAAACTGAACTCTCTGGTGACTTGAAACACACCAGTAAATCAACATAGATGTTGACTTACTAGAGTCGGCTTGATTCATGAAAGTGAGATTTACTAATATCTTGTGAGTTTGTCAATCCATTTTACTGGTCATTAGCCAGCTGTTTCCCTATTTTATGAGAAAAATTACGAAATTATCTTTATGTTTCTTCTAATTGATACGCTTACTTCTTTGGCTTTCATTATTTCATTTTACAATTGTTTACTTTACTTCTTTTTGTGCAGGAACTACGTCATGATGATGAGCGTTCTTCCTTTTTGCAGTTCAAGCAAAGCCTAGTTATCGATAGGTCGACTTCTTTTGATCCTTCTGCTTATCCCAAGGTTTCATCCTGGAAGGCCGAAGACTGCTGCTCATGGGACAACGTCACCTACAATTAGGTTCTTGGTCATTTAATCGGGCTTAATCTCATAAGTAGCTGCCTCTATGTATCTATCAACTCCAGTAGCAGTCTCTTCCACCTTGTCCATCTGGAATGGCTTGGCCTAGCTGATAATGACTTCTATGGCTCCAAAGTCCCATCCGAAATCATGAACTTTTCCAAGTTATCATATTTGAACCTGTCGAATTCAGGCTTTTCTGGTCATATGCCATCACAGTTCTGTACTCTTCATATATCAAAATGAGAGAACTGATCTTGTACCGGTGAGTTACGGTTACTCGTTGCGAATGAGTACCAAAGGCATAGAGTTGGAATACGGAAGGATCTCAAATCTCCTCACAGCTATTATTTCCTCGAGCAGCAAATTTGAAGCAGAGATTCCAACATCCATTGCAAATTTAACAGGGCTTAGTTTTCTTGTTTTTTCGAACAATAATCTCAAAGGCCCCATCCCGCCATTCATGGAAAAACAAACAGCACTAGAATCATTGGATCTTCTTAATAACAAGCTCTCAGGACAGATATCTCAGCAACTACAAGATCTCACATTCCTTTCGCACTTCAATGTCTCAAATAACCATCTCACAAGACCCATACCAAAAGGAAAGCAAATTTGATACGTTCGTGAATGATTCATTTGATGGGAACCCTGGATTGTGTGGAAAGTAGATAGCAAAAAAAAATTCAAAATTTTAACCCCTCAAAGAAAGAAGAAGATCTTGCAGGCTCCAAGTTTCCTTTCGAATTTGGGTAGAAATTAGTTCTTATAGGGTATGCAAGAGGTATCGTTTATGAAGATTTTCGAGAGGAAACCCATGCAAAGTCAGGAGAAACAGTGTTCACAGAAACATAATATAATTTGCTTCGTTCCTTTCTCTTCAGAGTTAATTAATGTAAAATGCAGCTTTAAGCATCATGTAATTGGCTTAAGCATTTTGGTTTTGAAAATATATTGATTCTGAGTTGATTAAGTTATAAATTTGACTTATCAGAATCCTAAAGCTTCATTTTACACCAAATGGGAAAGTCTCACTTTCATATGTTTATAAAACCAAAACAGAACAAAAAATATACAGGAATAAATCTGCATGTTGATCAAATCCTCTATTGGATCAATCTGACACAATCCTTGGAGAGGCTGTGCCACAAATATTTAGATCAAACAAGCCATTCAAATCAACCTCTAAACGCCAATATTTCTGCAACAATATTTACACAATCAGCCAATTAAACAACATTTTTAATATCACATGAAGAGCAAACATAGCAACATTGCTGCCACTATAGAAATTCCAATGTTGGCAACATTGGTTTTGTCACTTGAACTTGGTGCAAGAACAGGAGGAGCACCAGTAGGACTAGACCCAAAGTCGAACTCAGTATCATCTGGAGTGGAGCCATTGGCCACGGGAGGTAGCGGTGGATCAACAATATCTGCTATACTCAGGGATGGGTTTGGGGCGCTTGCCGGCGGCTGTACTGGTTCAGGTATTATACTAAGCATATCCCCAGGTGTAATGGGTAAAATTGTATAAGGCAGATCAGCATTGAGGTCAGAACATGGGCTTCCTGCAATTTTTAAAAGTAAGTATACTGAACTAAATATTTGCTTCTTGGGTTGCAAGTAATCATCATTTTATTCAAAAGTTTTACGCTTACTCAGATATTTGGAGGCAGTAGCAGGAAACTCAGTTACAATCCCGTCTACGCCCATTCCTCCTATATAAGTTGCAAGTTCTATGACAGGATCTGCGAAGTAATCGAACGCAAGTGAAATGAACTCGTTTTTGAAAACTGAGACATATACTGAGATATTTGCACTATGCATTTCCTTTAAAACATTCGTAAATGTTACAGTAAAACCGTCTCTAACTGTAATGAGACTAGGTCTCGGGACAATAACTGCGTCAGCATACTTCTTAGTTTCCTCCACCGAATCTTTTGGAGCATCGCTTACTTCGTTCTTGAGGTGCAAGACTCTCTTATAAGCACGGACACCGGAAAACTTTGACAACACAGAACTGTCATCAGATGAGATAAACACTAGCTGAGTGGATTGCTTGTCAAATGTGGCATTACTTAAGGCTTTGGTGACAACATCTACTATGCCAAGACCCTTCTTTGATGCTAGATAAGCAGCATTCTGAGCAAGGAGGTTATGAATTAGAGAAGTGCTAATTAATAAGTGAGAATTTGTTAAGAAAAATGAATGGTTACCTCTATGTTGATCTGAACTCCAGTAACTGCCTTGGTCTTTGCCAGCTCCAGGAATTCATCAATGGTCACAAATTTTCCTTGGTTCTTAGCTTGAGGGTTTCTTTGGAAGGTATCAGTTTCAGTTGCAAAAGGGCTTTCCATTTCAGCTGAAGCAGTAAAAGTATGACAAGTGAGGATGCTAGCTGAAGATTAGCAGGTAAACAAAAAGGGGAAGTATTCAAAAAAAAAAAAAATTACGCTTCAATGATTGAATCTCGCTCCACGTTAGATCGAACGAAAAGATTCCCTTGTTTTGTTGAATTGCAGGAATACTGGTGACTCGAGACATGAAAGAGGTCATCACGGTTGTTTTTCCCATGAGGTCTGGTGAATCCAAGCAGAAGGCAACTCCATCTTTTGACATTTGAACTGAGCAGTCGATTATGTCAGTTCCGTCATCGATCGCTTGCTGATATGCCAAATCAGTACTGCCAGGATAAACACCACTTGCCCCATTGTGAGATATAATCAAAGGTTTCCCTGGAAAAGCATAGAATTTTACATTAACATTACAGTGCAACTTATTCATCTTGTGCTTCTAAAATTTGTGTATAAGATTAGTATCTTGCCTCTGACAGGTTTGGTGACATTGTTTAGTGCAAAGCATGCTGCATCAAAGAAAATAGTTGGAGTGTTAGTTCAAAGCAATTCTCAAGCACAACATATCAGATAACCGTTAAAAGACAAAATCTTGGCCAAATTTCTTGAAGAAATTGCAAACCTATGCTTTCTGATGCTGTAGGAGGAAAATCGGTGATAAATCCGTCAACAGCAAACTGCGAGTTATCAATAAATTTCAAGTACTCATTTGATGGATCATAGCTGTAATTGTAGCTTAGTTGAACATCATTTTCAAAATCAGAAGCATATACTTCTAGTCCTTCTTTATGTGCATCAGTCACAAGAGCAGTTGCAGGATCCAGATATCCTGTTTTATTATTAATAGGAAATATGTAATTTTTCGGGACAACAATGACGGAAGCAAAAGATTTGATAGCAGTAAGATTCTTCAAGATTTCACTGTATGTTTGATTGGTTGTTGGTTCAACTTCATTCGGGTTGAGGAACACGAAAACGAGCTTTGTCCTTGCCTTGTTCACCTTCCCACCAATGGCCTTCAGAAAACCAATCTCAGGAGATGATAAGTAATTTATGCCTCCAACTCTGACAGACTTCTGAAGATAGCCTTCCACACTGAGGTTGTGTTGAGAATAGAATGTGTCATACTGCAAAAGGGAGCAATTAGCAGAAGAGAAGGAAAAGAAACAAAAAATTATCTGAAACAAGAGGTTAAAGAGGAAAGAAGAGAGAAAATACCTGAACATTTAACCAAAACTGAGGGGGTTTAGTTCCCAATACATCTTCAACAGTAGATATTGGAAATTCTCCATCAAATACGGATGGTCTGGAGTACACATTCTGAGTCACTGCAAGACAAACACATAGTAAATCAAATAAAACCGATCAGAACCAAATCAATGCATCCTCGTGGCATCGGTGTTTTAAGGTCCCCCAGACCTGCCCACATGTATTGCACCATAGCTATCAGATTAGCTTTTGGTATGGCTATGTCTATGTTACATTTTTACTATAAGAATGTGTTTCTTAAACGATGGGTCTCGTTTACTACATCAATTCATTCTAAAAGTGAAAACTTCAGTAAAATTTCCTGCATCGGAAACTGTTTTGTCTTTTAGTCTAATAAACAAGAGCTGGAATTAAAAAAGCCAAAACAAAAAGCCAAACATCTGCACCTGATTTTTTTTTGAAAACTACATATATAGACTTACATGATACATTGTTGAAAAGCTGATCAGCTCTATAATCCAAAGCAAACCACCCTTTAATATCCTGTCCATTAACCTTGTAAGTTGTCCTTCCATTGGGGTAAATCATGCCAATATTTGTTGAATTATCAAACTGGATATCTGTCATGCAAATTCCAACACCATCCTTTGTCAATTGCAGATTGCACAACACAGCTACACTGGACAGACTCATCGGAGGCTTCACCAAGCTATTCGCAGCACTACTCGATTCCGGAAGAACCCCCGAGAACCCTCCTCGAGCTACCACCAGAGGCTCAGCTCCTGCAAACAGATTCAAGAACCAACTGTTTGTTAATTCAATTTGTTTTCAGAACAAAATTGTATTGATTTTAGTTCCAAAACCAAGTACCATTTAGAGTCTGCCATTTCTTTGCAGGCTCAGCAGCTTTCACTGCCTCAGGGTTTCTCTTCCTAGATTTTACATTGACAGCTTTTGTATTGATCAACAAGAAAATGAAAAACAAACACCTTATCATCATCTTCAAATCCTGTTACAAATTAGAGTAAACGAGCCGCGAGAGTTAACTCGTATTCACGAGAGCTCAATAGTGTATCAAAGAAAGAAAGAAAAAAATCTGATAAAAGTGAGTCGAACCCAGATGGACTTACATGAACCTTAACAACAGAGGTGAAGAAAAGCGACATTGAGTTGAAGTTTCAGTGAGGAATTTTCCTCGGGAAAGTGAAGGAAAGAGAAGGAAAATGACAGGAGAGAGTAATTAGTTATGAAGTTTAATTCACACTAACAGCTCTCTCTAATAACTCTACCAAATCTTTCACTAATTAATAGCATTGATTAAGAGATGGAGCGGTTTCTTGGTTGAAGATCTTGTTCCCTTGTTTGCTATTCTGGCTCCATTCCTGTGGACGCGGGAGAGTGACAGCTCTAAACTTAAACGGCTTTTAACTGATTTTTTGATAGAAACTGACACTTCAATTTATGTTCATTCAATGTGTTATCTTTTGTTTCTTTTCAAGTAAACCCTCTTAAACAAATTAATTAAATTTCATTTAATATAATTAATATCCGACAGTTTTAGAATTATTTTTGAATCATAAATAAAAAACGATATATAAATATGAAAAGAATTTTTATCTTGTTTATATTTATTATCATTTAATTCATATTTAATAATTATTACTAGATGAATAAAATCATTTTAATAAACGTTTATTAGTTAACGATTTTCACTGTCATATGCATTACGTATCATGTTACATTCTTCCAAATCAATTAATTTAATATTTATTTACATCGATTCAACCCAATTTGCACCTCGATCCACAATATGAATCATTTTGTTTTTGCTAACCAGTTTTGATTGGGATTTGTTTCACATAACATAACTCCATAAGATAGTGAAATTTTCAATAATTTTAGAGGGGGGTTTTTGATGCTTTCCAAAAAACTCAGATGTATTTGATATTTATATAATCCTGCAAGGATCTAAGAAAAATAGACCCTTTGGATGTGATAAAGCATTCTTAGATCCCACATCGAAGAGTGGTGAGCATCTTAAAGAACATATAAAAGGCTGAAGAAGTGGAAAGCATCGCCGAGCTTGGTAACGTGAGCTTGTGACCCAAGAGGGGGCTTTAAGATGGTGGAACATTGGCTCAATCACTTGAGTCGGGATCAGGCTGGCTAAGAGTTGGCTAGCCCAATCCAAGCCAGGAGATGAGCCACGGGTCTCTAGCGAAGGCCAGAGTCTCATGGTTACTAGAGTGGAGGGCACCGCGTGAGGCTGGCTTCACAGAGCAGCGAACACCTCCCGCTCTTGGCAGTGGAAGGATCACTGGCCGGTGCCACCTGGACTCACCATGGCCCAATGGGTTGACCCAACTGGACCATCATCTTTTTACATGAAATTTCATTATATTTTTGCACTGTATTTTCAATTTTTCTTCTTAAATTATCATATTTCCCCCCAAAAAAAAAAATTATATTTCTGGTATATATTAATTTTCACTTCTTCGAAAATTTATATAAACCTTTTTTTCTTTGTAACATCGTACAATAATCTTTTATCAAAATTCAAAGTCATATAAGTCATTTTACCTTGTTCGATAATCTTCTCTCAAAAATTATACACGAGATTTTCAGCTCACATAATCATTATAAGAGGATTATTTTCATGATTTTCTTTGATTTCGTCCACAATCTTTCAATACGAAAAATTGATCTATCACACAATCAATTTCTTTTAACCTTTATTCTTTGAAAATCAAAAAGATAGTTTTTAAGTTTGAATTCCTTCGTTTCCAATATGGTTCTTCTACATTATTATTATTATTATTATTATTATTATTATTGTTATAGTCAATATTTAAAAGTAAATAATTCAAAATAACGCATTAAATCAACACATTAAATTACAAGTTGTTACTTATCACTTATTGGTAATAGACGAATAATTCATGAAAACTTAATAAAACAAATAGAACAAATTCTAACCAATCGATTTAGTCGTATCAAATCAAAATATACATTTTACTATAGAACTTTTGAACCAAATCGAACCATTCTCATTGTTTACTAAAAATAGAACGGAAACAAAAATTATATAGATTTAATATGTTAAAACCTAAAAGCTATATCATTAAGATTTGTTATGCATATTTGACTAATCTTGATTTGGTTTAAGCATACTTAAATCTAGTTTAATTAATGAAAACTGAACCAAATGGGTTTTCAATTTTACTTTTAAAAATAAAAAATTAAACCAAACTAAACAGGGTCCAATTGAACTATGCACACTTTTAAACTAAAATAAAAATGAAATATTACACTTACAATCTAATTTTACAATTTTTTTCTCATAACATTAAAGTGACAATTCACAATTGATCAACTAGTAATAGGTCATATCACCTAATTACAACCTGATCAATTACAGATTATAACATTGGAGTTGTTTCAGAAAATTTTTAAGTCAGACCTCGACCCAAAATGCATAGTATTTTATTTTTTATAATTTTTTAAAGTTTTAATCTTTGAAAAATCATTAAAAATAATCCGCTCGACCGAATCACCCCATTCTCGTTGCGTTCCGTTCTTTGCATTTTTCTCCATCACCATGCAAAAAATTAGATCAAAACGACAACCTTCGATAAAATCGTCTCTTGATGTGTCGAACACCCCTGCCGTACGCAAAAGCAAGATTGTCGCTGTACAGCAAAAGCATACACCCTAACTTTATACACTATAATTCAATGAAGAATTTTAGAAATATAAAGCAACCGACTCCGACCCAAAATGCATAATCTTTATTGAAATGGAAGTATATATCTAATCAAATAAAAAACGTTATGGCCCACTATATGCCAGGTAAGTGTGCCAGCTAAGCCGATTGCAAAAAGTTTACTCTATACTCAACAACACCGAATCCTTCTCTCCAAATAAAAACGAATCTGCTTTCTCGCCTTTACTTCTCTCGAATCCAATTAATCAAATCAAAAAACAAGCACAAATTCAAAGCGAAGGCACCGTACGAAACTGTAAAATTCGCCACCGGAGAGAGAGAAATGAAGATCACGGCGTTGCTGGTGTTGAAATGCGTCCCTGAGGGAGCCGATCCGGTATTCATAGCGACCGCATCTGACGTCAGCCATTTCGGCTACTTTCAACGCTCCAGCGTCAAGGAGTTCATCCTCTTCGTCGGTCGCACCGTCGCCAAACGCACTCCGCCGTCGCAACGTCAGTCGGTTCAACACGAAGGTCCGATTTCATCTTTTTCTGTTTTAATTGATAATTGCATCGCTTTCTGTCGATTGGCGTTTCAGCTCGAATCGCGTCATTTTGAGTTTGTTTTTTATGATGTATCTATTCGGTGCATAATAAGACAAAAATTATAGTTTGTGATTTCTTGAATTACGCTTTATTGAGTTATATTTTTCTGCAATTGGACGCCATTTTAGAATAAGTAAATATGTAATTTTTGTAAGTTTAAAGCTATCTGGGATTCTTTTTTGATCTATTGTTTTGAATTACACACTTATTGAAGCAAGTATAATTTTGATCCTTTAGAATTAGGCTCTGTAATTGAACGCCATTTTAGGGAATTCTTTTATGACCTATTGTTTTGAATTACTCACTTTAAGATATACTGAAACAAGTGAATTTTTTATCCTTAAGATTATGCTGTTTTGAATTGCATTTAAGAGTAAAATTTTTTTATTTGATGGAGTTGCAAATGAGTTTAACATTTTTCTTTGTTTTTGTACAAGTAAATTTTGTAATTGTTTTGAGCCCTGGTTTAAGGTTAAAGATTTCTTAACTATCTCAAACTATTTTGTGAAACAACATATTATTGTTTCTTTGCGTAACGGTATTCTTTGTTTTTGAATAACAAATTTGTAATTTTTGTCAGCTCAAAATTTTCAGGATTTATGATTTCTCAGTTATCTTAAATTCCTTATGATATATTGAATTATGGTTTATGATGCATTGAAACAAGAAAATTTGTTCTGTTTTGTATTTGGAGACATGTTAGCATTTTCCCCTTTTTCTATTTTTATCATTTTGAGCTTCGTTTATGATTTGTCAATTATGTTGAATCTGTGTTATCTGTGCAAAGCTGATAGTCTGAGAAGAAGTAAATGAATAAATTTACTGTGTGTTTGGCTTTTTGGGTTAATTTGCTGGATGTTGATTGATTGTGTAGAGTACAAGGTGCATGCTTATAATAAAAATGGGCTATGCGCGGTAGGATTTATGGATGATCACTATCCAGTTCGGAGTGCATTTTCAGTTCTGAATCAGGTATAGTATACTGAACCTGTATCAATTTTAATATTGTTTGGGTTTTATGGTGAATGATTCTTTTGAAGTGTTTTCTCTAAAAGTGCTTTCTACAAACTTTCCTGATATATAAGATGCTCTCCATATGTTTTACTGTTTCTAAAATCATTTTAATCTTCATCTTATTATATGTGATAAAACTTGTGGTATTATAAATTTATTATATGTTATAAGACGTAAAGGAAATGAAACTATCGAAGTTTGTTGATAAGTAACAAAGGAAAAAAAATTAGTTGGAATATTTTTGTTATGAGGGTTATTTATTTATCTATTTTATTTGTTGATTTGGAGAGTTCTCACTATTGTGTTTCACGTTTAGATCTTAAATATCTTGCATGTTCAGTGAGCTAACAGCTGGTGAAACTATCTCACTTAGAGTTTGAAGTGCGAGAATGAGAAAGTTGCTTGGTGAATGTAATTTTATATGAGTTGAGATATGTTTCATGTTAGATTTTGTGATTAGTCTTTTGTGGTGATGAAACCATTTGTGGATACTTGATGTCATCTTGGTTTTCTTGGTTGTTGATAAATTGAAGGTGTCTGGCAGGTGGTAGAAGAGTATCAGAAAAATTTTGGTGATTCATGGAAGACTGTACAGGCCGACAGCTCTCAACCATGGCCCTATCTGAATGAAGCTTTGACCAAATTTCAGGTATTTCTGATTTCTTTGTCACTCTTGACCATAGTTGGAATTTATGATTTAGATCTCATCATCCTGTGCTTACATTGACTCTGATTTACCACATTTCAGGACCCTGCAGAGGCTGATAAGTTGTTGAAAATTCAAAGGGAATTGGATGAAACCAAGATTATCCTTGTGAGTGTTGTGCTATTGCTGCACTGGTTTATGTATTGCCTCTAAGTAATTTTATGTTTTACCGCTGTTTCTAGAAGTATTTCATTTGTGTATATTAAAGATCAAACTCTTTCTTTTGAATATGCCTTCGTTCCTCAATTGATTCAAATGTTGCTACACAACCTTCAATTTGCATTTTCCATTTGATAGGCTATTCCTATTCTTAATGTTTCTGTATGAGCTACATCAGAAATTGGGTCTTTAATTAACCTGTAACTTTGCTCGTCTGAAAAGTAGGCTGGGTTTATAATCATTTTTGTTGACATTTTTTATCTTTTTTAAGTGCACCTAGTTATTGATGTGCTCCAGCTGAACAAAAGTCTTGCCCTCCTGATACAGCTTCAACTCGAAGCTGTATCAGATAAGATGATGTAGATAGTTTGCTTATACTTCATACACGAGGCAAGTGATGGAGTTTCTGAATCTTAATAAAATTACATTTGGGATACTAGATATGCTATATGCTTTTAGTTTCTAGTTTCTCATGACATACATTATACATGAATTTCTTATTTTAATTTTTGTAGGGTCAGGCTTTGGGTTAATAAGTTTATGCTTTGTATCTGTTAACTCGTCTGTTTATCAGATTGGCTTCTCTTTCTTTAAGTATTAAGCAGTTTATTCTCTGTTTCAGCATAAAACTATCGATAGTGTGCTTGCACGGGGTGAGAAGCTGGACAGTTTAGTTGAAAAGAGTTCAGATCTTAGTGCAGCATCGCAGGTAATCCAACAATAACTTCATGTTGCCTTTACTCATTTATCAGTGAACTACTGAAACAGTGAACTACTGAAACAGTGAACATATATGTAGGTTCATATGTGCATAGTCTTTCATGTTAGGGCCCCGATTTGCATGGTGCTTATTCTGGTCTTCCTTGTCATTGGTTTTTGTTGTTTGGTAGCTTAGTTTCCGGTAGACCAATATAATTCAAAGGCTTTATGAATTTTTTGAGAGTTTATTTGATGACATCCATGTCAATATCTCATCAGGAGATCGTCGACACAGGGAGTAATTTACGTAATTTTGAGAAGGAATTTATCTTGTGGCTAATGCTAGAACTTTATGGTTGTTGAAACAGATGTTCTACAAGCAGGCGAAGAAAACAAATCAATGTTGTAGCATACTGTAAGGGCATCGAGGCAAGGCACGTTTATCCTGTAATGGCCATATTCACTTGTTATACTTGTTGAAGGTGATGGATGACAAAAAGGGTGATTATAATATATGTTTATATCATTTATCAATTGTTTGCTTGGAAGATTTGTGGTCTTTCATCTTCTGGGTGTTTGTGTTCTTGATGATCAGAAAAAGAAGAAAACAAAGGTTATCGCCAAAAATCTTTTATATTTTAGTACTTATACACTTCTCGTTCTCAAATGTAGCTTGTGTATGTGATTCTCTTTAATTAAAATATACAAAATGTCATTAATATCACCATATAAATATTTTTATATAATATTATAATAAATCAAAATTACATAATTTATAAATATTAATATTAAATATTAAAAAAAATTCGTAGTTCAAGCCACAAAGCACACAAGCCGCCCATGTCTAGGCCACGAGAGGCTATATGTAGGTCGTGCCGTGGACATTTAGATTGGCAGGCCACATGGCACGACAAGACATGAATTTTTGTGGGCCTTAGCACGGCAAAATAGTTGAATTTTTAGACACGGCATGCCCACCACAGTCTAAGTAAAACCACTATTTTCCACTATCACATCTAAGTCCATAAACTTTCATTTTTAACAATTTACCCCTCTAATTTTAACAGAATAAACTGAAATTGAAATCTTGCACTTCTATTCAACATTTCCCTTCAAACTGAACTCTCTTGGTGACTTGAAACACCACTAAACAACATAGATGTTGACTTATTAGAGCCAACTTGATTCATGAAAGTGAGATTTACTAATATCTTGTGAGTTTGTCAATCCATTTCCTGGTCATTGGCCAGCTGTTTCCCTTTTTATACAAAAATTACGAAATGCTATAATTCTTTATTCTTTCATCTTAAGCCATCTCATAACAAATCCATAATAATTATGGGGTTCTTTATGTTTCTTCTCATTGATACGCTTACTTCTTTGGCTTTCATTATTTCATTTTACAATTGTTTCACTTTACTTCTTTTTGTGCAGGCATGCGTCATATGATGAGCGTTCTTCCGTTTTTGCAGTTCAAGCAAAGCCTAGTTATCGATAGGTCGACTTCTTTTGATCCTTCTGCTTATCCCAAGGTTTCATCCTAGAAGGCCGAAGACTGCTGCTTAGGGGACAACGTCACCTATAGGAGGTTCCTGGTCATTTAATCGGGCTTAATCTCATAAGTAGCTGCCTCTATGTATCTATCAACTCCAGAGCAGTCTCTTCCACCTTGTCCATCTGGAATGGCTTGCCTGGCTGATAAGGACTTCTATGGCACCACAGTCCCATCCGAAATTATGAACTTTTCCAGTTATCATTTTGAACCTGTCGAGTTCAGGCTTTTCTGGTCATATCCATCAGAGTTCTGTACTCTTCATATATCAAAATGAGAGAACTGATCTTGTACCGGTGAGTTTACGGTTACTAGTTGCGAACTGATCTCAAATCTCCTCACAGCTATTATTTTCTCGAGCAGCAAATTTGAGAGATTCCAACATCCATTGCAAATTTAAGCGGGCTTAGTTTTCTTGTTTTTTCGAACAATAATCTCAAAGGCCCCATCCCGCCATTCATGGAAAAACAAACAGCACTGGATAATTGATCTTCTTATAACAAGCTCTCAACAGATACCTCAGCAACTACAAGATCTCACATTCCTTTCGCACTTCAATGTCTCATAACCATCTCACAAGACCCATACCAAAAGGAAAGAAAATTTGATACGTTCGTGAATGTTCTTTGATGGGAACCCTGGATTTTGTGGAAAGCAGATAGCAAAAAAATTCAAAATTTTAACCCCTCAAAGAAAGAGAAGATCTTGCAGGCTCCAAGTTTCCATTCGAATTTGGGTAGAATATTCTTATAGGATGCAACTGGCTAATATAGGAGTGCTCTGACAGCTTATGCAAGACAGTATCGTTTATGAAGATTTTGACAGGAAACCCTGCAAAGTCAGGAGAAACAGTGTTCACAGAAACATAATAATAATGACTTCGTTTCTTTCTCTCGAGTTAATTAATGTAAAATGCAGCTTTAAGCATCATGTAATTGGCTTAAGCATTTTGGTTTTGAATATGATTTTGAGTGTGAAGTTATAAATTTGACTTATCAGAATCCTAGCTTCATTTTACACCAAATGGGAAAGTCTCACTTTCATATGTTATAAACCAAACAGAACAAAATATACGGAATATGAATATAAATCTAAACAAACTGCATGTTATCAATCCTCTATTGGATAAATCTGACACAATCCTTGGGAGGCTGTGCCACAATATTTAGATCACAAGCCTTCAAATCACCTCTAACGCCCATATTTCTGCACAATATTTACACAATCAGCCAATTAAACAACATTTTTAATATCACATGAAGACAAACATAGCAACATTGCTGCCACTATGAAATCCAATGTTGGCAACATTGGTTTTGTCACTTGAACTTGGTGCAAGAACAGGAGGAGCACCAGTAGGACTAGACCAAAGTCGAACTCAGTATCATCTGGAGTGGGCCATTGGCCACGGAGTAGCGGTGGATCAACAATATCTGCTATACTCGGATGGGTTTGGGGCGCTTGCCGGCGGCTGTACTGGTTCAGGTATTATACTAAGCATATCCCCAGGTGTAGGGTAAAATTGTATAAGGCAGATCAGCATTGAGTCAGAACATGGGCTTCCTGCAATTTTTAAAAGTAAGTATACTGAACTAAATATTTTCTTCTTGGGTTGCAAGTATCATCATTTTATTCAAAAGTTTTACGCTTACTCGATATTTGGAGGCAGTAGCAGGAAACTCAGTTACAACCCGTCTACGCCCATTCCTCCTATATAGTTGCAAGTTCTATGACAGGATCTGCGAAGTAATCGAACGCAAGTGAAATGAACTCTTTTTTGAACTGAGACTATCTGATATTTGCACTATGCTTTCCTTTAAAACATTCGTAAATGTTACAGTAAACCGTCTCTAACTGATGAGACTATTCGGACAATAACTGCGTCAGCATACTTCTTGGTTTCCTCCACCGAATCTTTTGGACATCGCTTACTTCGTTCTTGAGGTGCAAGACTCTCTTATAAGCACGGACACCGGAAAACTTTGACCACAACTGTCATCAGATGAGATAACACCTAGCTGAGTGGATTGCTTGTCAAATGTGGCATTACTAAGGCTTTGGTGACAACATCTACTATGCCAAGACCCTTCTTTGATGCTAGAAAGCAGCATTCTGAGCAAGGAGGTTATGAATTAGAGAAGTGCTAATTAATAAGTGAGAATTTGTTAAGAAAAATGATGGTTACCTCTATGTTGATCTGAACTCCAGTAACTGCCTTGTCTTTGCAGCTCCAGGAATTCATCAATGGTCACAAATTTTCCTGGTTCTAGCTTGAGGGTTTCTTTGGAAGGTATCAGTTTCAGTTGCAAAAGGGCTTTCCATTTCAGCTGAGCAGTAAAAGTTTGACAAGTGAGGATGCTAGCTGAAGATTAGCAGGTAACAAAAAAAAAAAAAAAAAAAATTACGCTTCAATGATTGATCTCGCTCCACTTAGATCGAACGAAAAGATTCCCTTGTTTTGTTGAATTGCAGGAATACTGGGACTCGAGACATGAAAGAGGTCATCACGGTTGTTTTTCCCATGAGGTTCTGGTGAATCCAAGCAGAAGGCAACTCATCTTTTGACATTTGAACTGAGCAGTCGATTATGTCAGTTCCGTCATCGATCGCTTGTGATATGCCAAATCAGTACTGCCAGGATAAACACACTTGCCCCATTGTGAGATATATCAAAGGTTTCCCTGGAAAAGTAGAATTTTACATTAACATTACAGTGCAACTTATTCATCTTGTGCTTCTAAAATTTGTGTATAAGATTGTATCTTCCTCTACAGGTTTGGTGACATTGTTTAGTGCAAGCATGCTGCTCAAAGAAAATAGTTGGGATGTTAGTTCAGCGCATTCTCTAGCACAACTTATCAGATAACTGTTAAAAGACAAAATCTTGGCCAAATTTCTTAAGAAATTGCAAACTATGCTTCTGATGCTGTGAGGAGGAAATCGGTGATAAATCCGTCAACGCAAACTGCGAGTTATCAACAAATTTCAAGTACTCATTGATGATCATGCTGTAATTGTAGCTTAGTTGAACATCTTTTTCAAAATCAGAAGCATATACTTCTAGTCCTTCTTATGTCATCAGTCACAAGAGCAGTTGCAGGATCCAGATATCCTGTTTTATATTAATAGGAATATGTAATTTTTCGGGACAAACATGGCGGAAGCAAAAGATTTGATAGCAGTAAGATTCTTCAAGATTTCACTGTATTTTGATTGTTTGGTTGTTCAACTTCATTCGGGTTGAGGAACACGAAACGAGCTTTGTCCTTGCCTTGTTCACCTTCCCACAATGGCCTCAAAAACCATCTCAGGAGATGTAAGTAATTTATGCCTCCAACTCTGACAGACTTCTGAATAGCCTTCCACACTGAGGTTGTGTTGAGAATAGAATGTGTCATACTGCAAAAGGGACAATTAGCAGAGAGAAGGAAAAGAAACAAAAAATTATCTGAAACAAGAGGTTAAAGAGGAAGAAAGAGAAATACCTGAACATTTAACCAAAACTGAGGGGTTTAGTTCCCAATACATCTTCAACAGTAGTATTGGAAATTCTCCATCAAATACGGATGGTCTGGAGTAACATCTGAGTCACTGCAAGACAAACACTAGTAAATCAAATAAAACCGATCAGAACCAAATCAATGCATCCTCGTGGCATCGGTGTTTTAAGGTCCCCAGACCTGCCCATGTATTGCACCATAGCTATCAGATTAGCTTTTGGTATGGCTATGTCTATGTTACATTTTTATAAGAATGTGTTTCTTAACGATGGGTCTCGTTTACTACATCAATTCATTCTAAAAGGAAAACTTCAGTAAAATTTCCTGCATCGGAAACTGTTTTGTCTTTTAGTCTAATAAACAGAGCTGGAATTAAAAAAGCCAAAACAAAAAGCCAAACATCTGCACCTGATTTTTTTTGAAAACTACATATATAGACTTACATGATACATTGTTAAAAAGCTGATCACTCTATAATCCAAAGCAAACCACCCTTTAATATCCTGTCCATTAACCTTGTAAGTTGTCCTTCCATTGGGGTAAATCATGCCAATATTTGTTGAATTATCAACTGGATATCTGTCATGCAAATTCCAACACCATCCTTTGTCAATTGCAGATTGCACAACACACGCTACCTGGACAGACTCATCGGAGGCTTCACCAACTATCGCAGCACTACTCGATTCCGGAAGAACCCCCGAGAACCCTCCTCGACTACCACCAGAGGCTCAGCTCCTGCAAACAATTCAAGAACCAACTGTTTGTTAACAATTTGTTTTCAGAAACAAATTGTATTGATTTTAGTTCCAAACCAAGTACCATTTAGAGTCTGCCATTTCTTTGCAGGCTCAGCAGCTTTCACTGCCTCAGGGTTTCTCTTCCTAGATTTTCATTGACAGCTTTTGTATTGATCAACAAGAAAATGAAAAACAAACACCTTATCATCATCTTCAAATCCTGTTACAAATTAGAGTAAACGAGCCGCGAGAGTTAACTCGTATTCACAGGCTCAATAGTGTATCAAAGAAAGAAAGAAAAAAATCTGATAAAAGTGAGTCGAACCCAGATGGACTTACATGAACCTTAACAACAGAGGTGAAGAAAAGCGACATTGAGTTGAAGTTTCAGTGAGGAATTTTCCTCGGAAAGTGAAGGAAGAGAAGGAAAATGACAGGAGAAGTAATTAGTTATGAAGTTTAATTCACACTAACAGCTCTCTCTAATAACTCTACCAAATCTTTCACTATTAATAGCATGATTAAGAGATGGAGCGGTTTCTTGGTTGAGATCTTGTTCCCTTGTTTGCTATTCTGGCTCCTTCCTGTGGCGCGGGAGAGTGACAGCTCTAAACTTAAACGGCTTTTAACTGATTTTTTGATAGAAACTGACACTTCAATTTATTCATTCAATGTGTTATCTTTTGTTTCTTTTAAGTAAACCCTCTTAAACAATTAATTAAATTTCATTTATATAATTAATATCCGACAGTTTTAGAATTATTTTGAATCATAGATAAAAAACAATATAAAATAGAAAGAATTTTTATCTTGTTTATATTTATTATCATTTAATTCATATTTATAATTATTACTAGATGAATAAAACATTAATAAACGTTTATTAGTTACGATTTTCACTGTCATATGCATTACGTATCAGTTTACATTCTTCCAATCAATTAATTTAATATTTATTTACATCGATTCAACCCAATTTGCACCTCGATCCACAATATGAATCATTTTGTTTTTGCTAACCAGTTTTGATTGGGATTTGTTTCACATAACATAACTCCATAAGATAGTGAAATTTTCAATAATTTTAGAGGGGGGTTTTTGATGCTTTCCAAAAACTCAGATTTTTTATATTTAATAATCCTGCAAGGATCTAAGAAAAATAGACCCTTTGGATGTGATAAAGCATTCTGTGATCCCACATCGAAGAGGGTGAGCATCTTAAAAATATATAAAAGGCTGAAGAATTGGACAGCATCGCCGAGCTTGGAAACGTGACTTGTGACCCAAGGGGGCTTTGAGATGGGAACTGGCTCAATCACTTGAGTCGGGACCAGCTGGCTAAGAGTTGGCTACCCAATCCAAGCCAGGAGTGAGCCACGGGTCTCTGCGAAGGCCAGAGTCCATGGTTACTAGAGTGGAGGGCACCGCGTGAGGCTGGCTTCACAGAGCAGCGAACACCTCCCGCTTTTGCAGTGGAAGGATCACTGGCCGGTGCCACCTGGACTCACCATGGCCCATGGGTTGACCCAACTGGACCATCATCTTTTTACATGAAATTTCATTATATTTTTGCACTGTATTTTCAATTTTTCTCTTAAATTATCATATTTCCCCCCAAAAAAAAAAATTATATTTCTGGTATATATTAATTTTCACTTCTTCGAAAATTTATATAACCTTTTTTCTTTGTAACATCGTACAATAATCTTTTATCAAAATTCAAAGTCAATAAGTATTTTACCTGGTTCGATAATCTTCTCTCAAAAATTATACACGAGATTTCACTACAAATCATTATAAAGGTTATTTTCATGATTTTCTTTGATTTCGTCCACAATCTTTCAATAGAAAAATTGATCTATCACCAATCAATTTCTTTTAACCTTTATTCTTTGAAAATCAAAAAGATAGTTTTTAAGTTTGAATTCCTTCTTTCCAATTGGTTCTTCTACATTATTATTATATATTATATATATTTATAGTCATATTTAAGTAATAATTCAAAATAACGCATTAAATCAACACATTAAAGTACAAGTTGTTACTTATCACTTATTGGTAAAGACGAATAATTCATAAAACTTAATAAAACAAATAGAACAAATTCTAACCAATCGTTTAGATTGGTTTTAAGAGGATGTATCAAATCAAAATATACATTTTACTATAGAACTTTTGAACCAAATCGAACCATTCTCATTGTTTCTAAAAATAAATGAAAAAAAAAATATATAGATTTAAATTTAAAACCTAAAGGCTATATCATTAAATTTATTATGCATATTTGATAATCTTGATTTGGTTTAAGTATACTTAAATCTAGTTTAATTAATGAAAACCGAACCAAATGGGTTTTCAATTTTACATTTAAAAATAAAAAATAAAAAATAAATCGGATTAAACTATCATACGTCAAACTAAATGGAAAATGACATATTACACTTACAATCCAATTTTATAAAATTTTTTCTCACAAACTCAACGTAATTTTATTATCAACTAATATAAGTCATTTCTGTCCAATTACGACTTACCAATATGAATTATGACTAAGTTCTCTTAGAAATTTTAAGCAATATTTTTTTTAATGGAATATATCTAATCAAATAAAAAACGTAGGCCCACTATAGCCAGTAAGTGTGCCAGCTAAGCCGATTGCAAAAAGTTTCTCTATACTCAACAACACCGAATCCTTCTCTCCAGATAAAACGAATCTTCTCTCGACTTCTCGTCATTACTTTCTCTCGAATCCAATTATCAAATCAAAAAACAAGCGCAAATTCAAAGCGAAGGCACCTCGAAACTGTAAAATTCGCCACCGAGAGAGAGATGAGATCACGGCGTTGCTGGTGTTGAAATGCTCCCTGAGGAGCCGATCCGGTTTTCATAGCGACCGCATCTGACGTCAGCCATTTGGCTACTTTCAACGTCCCAGCGTCAAGGAGTTCATCCTCTTCGTCGGTCGCACCGTCGCCAAACGCACTCCGCCGTCGCAACGTCAGTCGGTTCAACACGAAGGTCCGATTTCATTTTTTTCTGTTTTAATGATAATTGCATCGCTTTCTGTCGATTGGCGTTTCAGCTCGAATCGCGTCTTTGATTTGTTTTTTATGATGTATCTATTCGTGCATAATAGACAAAATTATAGTTTTGATTTCTTGAATTACGCTTTTGAGTTATATTTTTCTGCAATTGAACGCCATTTTAGAATAAGTAAATATTTAATTTTTGTAAGTTTAAAGCTATCTGAATTCTTTTTTGATCTATTGTTTGAATTACACACTTATTGAAGCAAGTATATTTTGATCCTTTAGAATTAGGCTCTGTAATTGAACGCCATTTTAGGGAATTCTTTTATGACCTATTTTTTTGAATTACCACTTTAAGATATACTGAAACAAGTGATTTTTATCCTTAGATTATGCGTTTTGAATTGCATTTAAGAGTAAATTTTTTATTTGATGGAGTTGCAAATGAGTTTAACATTTTTCTTTGTTTTTGTACAAGTAAATTTTGTAATTGTTGAGCCCTGTTTAGGTTAAAGATTTCTTAACTTCTCAAACTTTTGTGAAACAACATATATTGTTTCTTTGCGTAAGGGTATTCTTTGTTTTTGAATAACAAATTTGTAATTTTTGGAGCTCAAAATTTTCAGGATTTATGATTTCTCAGTTATCTTAAATTCCTAATGATATATTGAATTATGGTTTATGATGCATTGAAACAAGAAATTTGTTCTGTTTTGTATTTGGAGACATGTTAGCATTTCCCCTTTTTCTATTTTTATCATTTTGAGCTTCGTTTATGATTTGTCAATTAGTTGAATCTGTGTTATCTCAAGTCTTGGGCTTGATGATCTTATTCATTACGTCGAGCTATGAAATCAATTGACAACTTAAAATGGTATCTATGTAGAAACATATTACAAAATAATAGTATTTCAAGTAACTGTCCTTAACAGTAGACAGAAACCCACAAAGCTTAAAACCCAGAAAATTGAAGACTGAAAAATTGAAGAAGGGAGCAGGTTCAGCGTATTGCATGGCTATCAAAAGCACGTCTAATCATTTTTTCGTTTTCTCCTTAATGAAAAAGCTAGAGTAGACAGTAGTAGAAATTTCAACGAAAATCATAATGGAGCACCAAAAGTACAATTCTCCGGGTTTAGTAAGTTTTGGTGTGCCCATCCCAGTCATTACGTTGAGCTGTCAATGGAAGGGAAGGAGAAAGGACGCAGCTTGATGTTTAACCAAATATAAGACAATATCACTATCATGCTGACTTTTGAGGGCCACAGGCCACTTGACTCAAACAAGTCTTTGGCCCTTTCTATACTGAAGCTGAAGTTATTTGCAGCAGGGCTGTTTTTACGATATTATTGGTAAACCGCCTATAAATTCATCTCCATTCTCCTACAATGCTTCAACACCAGATCTACATTATCTAATTTATTTACTTCCATTATGGGTTTATCCTCATGTTTCTTCTCATTTATACGCTTACTTCTTTGGCTCTCATTATTTCATCTTACACTCCTCGCTCATTTTACTTCTTCTATGAAGCCACTCTGCCATGATGATGAGCGTTCTTCCTTGTTACAGTTCAATGCAAGCCTAATTATCAATGAGTTTGCTTCTGGAAACCCTTCTGCTTATCCCAAGGTTGTATACTGGAAGGCTGATAAAGACTGCTGCTCATGGGATGGTGTCACCTGTAGTGAGGTTACTGGTCATTTGATCGAGCTTAACCTCACCAGTAGCTACCTCTACGGTTCCATCAACTCTAGCAGCAGTCTCTTCCACCTTGTCTATCTCGAACGGCTTATCCTTCGTGATAATGACTTCAATGGCTCCAAAATCCCGTCCGCAATCAAGAACCTTTCCAGGTTGTCATATCTTGACCTATCTGGTTCTAGTTTTTCTGGTCAAATGACATGGGAGGTCCTAGAGCTCTCAAATTTGGAGACCCTCGACTTAACGTCTAATTTTAACTTGAAGCTCCAAAAGCCAGGTCTAAGAAGCCTAGTTGAGAAGTTAACCCACCTCAAATTCCTAGCTCTTGATTATGTCAATATTTCTTCTCCGATACCTGATATCTTGGCAAATTTATCTTCATTGACTGACTTATCTCTCGAAATGTGCCAATTGCAAGGTAAATTCCCCACAAAGATATTCCAATTACCCAACCTTCGCAGTATCAGCGTGCGGTTCAATCCAGATCTCTCTGGCTCCTTGCCAAATTTTGAAAAGAACAGCCCCCTTGAAGATCTGAGAGTTGAGGGAACGAGATTTTTCGGTAAGATTCCATATTCAATAGGGAATCTTAAATCCTTACAGTTCCTGTATTTAGGTATTTGTAATTTTTCTGGATCGATTCCGCCTTCACTTGGAAATCTTACCAAGATCAAGCTTCTTCACTTACATCTAAATGAATTTTCAGGTGAGCTGCCACCTGCTATTGGAAATCTTTCTTCTTTAGAAGAACTAGACATTTCTTCAAACCGTTTTTCAAGCCAAGATTCTCGTTCATATTCATGGATGGCTAAGTATAGTAAACTTACTTTCTTAAGCCTTTCAAACACAAGTTTAGTTGGAGAATTTCCTTCTTGGCTTATGAGCCTAACAAATCTTACTAATTTATATATGGCCCAAAACGAATTATATGGTACAATCCCTTCTCAAATTAGTAACCTAACGAAACTCACTTTGCTTGCACTTCACGGAAATCAATTCCAAGGTCCATTTCCTAGCGCTCTCTTTGACCTCGAGAATCTTGAGTGGATTTACCTTGACTCAAATAATCTGAATGGCACACTGGATATGGACATGCTTTTTAATAAGCTCAGAAATTTACAACATTTAACTCTCTCTTCAAACAATTTTTCATTGATCACCGATGTCAATGGCCATACTAAAGTTCCGAAATTTAGGAATCTTGGATTGGGGTCCTGCAACCTTATTGAGTTCCCAAACTTCTTGCAGGATCAAGATCGATTGGAGTACCTAGACCTTTCCTCAAACAAGTTGGTTGGCCAAATACCTAGATGGTTTTTCAACTTAAGCGTTGATTCATTGCAAAACTTGGACCTTTCTGACAATCTTTTAACAGGTTTTGACTGACATTCTGTTTTCTTTTCTTGTTCTCCTCGAGTCTTTTTAGGCTTAAGGTCAAATAAGCTGCAAGAATATGCCATTGTTAATGTTAATTCTTAATCTTAGTTTCCAAGTTTGTATTTGTAACTTATAATTATAAATAATAAAAAGTGTTGAAATTCAATTAATATTTCAATGTCTCATTATTTTATTATATTTTATAGTGATTATATATATTTTTTAATTAATATAAATACAAAATGTCATTAAATATAACATATAAAAATATTTTTATAATAATTATTAATAATAAATCAAAATTATCATAATTTATAAATATTAAATATTAAATATTAAAAAAAAAATTCGTAGGTCAGACCACAAAGCACACAAGCCAGCCCATGTGCTAGGCCACGAGAGGCTATATAGTAGGTCGTGCCGTGGACATTTAGATTTGGCAGGCCAACATGGCACGACAAGACATGAATTTTTGTGGGCCTTAGCACGGCACAACAAGCCTTGAATTTTTAGACACGGCATGACCCACCACCAGCTCTAAGTAAAACGCACTATTTTGACACTATCACATTCTAATCCATAAACTTTCATTTTTAACAATTTACCCCTCTTAACTAATTTTAACAGAATAAACTGAAATTGAAAATCTTGCACTTCTATTCAACATTTCCCTTCAAACTGAACTCTCTTGTGACTTGAAACACACCAGTAAATCAACATAGATGTTGACTTATTAGAGCCAACTTGATTCATGAAAGTGAGATTTACTAATATCTTGTGAGTTTGTCAATCCATTTCCCTGGTCATTGGCCAGCTGTTTCCCTGTTTTATGACAAAAATTACGAAATGCCTATAAATTCATTTCAATTCTCTTCCAATGCTTAAGCACCAGATCTTCATTAACAAATCCAGTTACATAATTATGGGGTTATCTTTATGTTTCTTCTCATTGATACGCTTACTTCTTTGGCTTTCATTATTTCATTTTACAATTGTTCACTTTACTTCTTTTTGTGCAGGCATTGCGTCATGATGATGAGCGTTCTTCCGTTTTTGCAGTTCAAGCAAAGCCTAGTTATCGATAGGTCGACTTCTTTTGATCCTTCTGCTTATCCCAAGGTTTCATCCTAGAAGGCCGAAGACTGCTGCTTAGGGGACAACGTCACCTATAGTGAGGTTCCTGGTCATTTAATCGGGCTTAATCTCATAAGTAGCTGCTTCTATGTATCTATCAACTCCAGTAGCAGTCTCTTCCACCTTGTCCATCTGGAATGGCTTAGCCTGGCTGATAATGACTTCTATGGCACCACAGTCCCATCCGAAATTATGAACTTTTCCAAGTTATCGTTTTTGAACCTGTCGAGTTCAGGCTTTCTGGTCATATACCGTCAGAGTTCTGTACTCTTCATATATCAAAATGAGAGAACTGATCTTGTACCCGTGAGTTACGGTTACTCGTTGCGAACTGATCTCAAATCTCCTCACAGCTATTATTTTCTCGAGCAGCAAATTGAAGCAGAGATTCAACATCCATTGCAAATTTAAGCGGGCTTAGTTTTCTTGTTTTTTCGAACAATAATCTCAAGGCCCCATCCCGCCATTCATGGAAAAACAAACAGCACTGGAATCATTGGATCTTCTTAATAACAAGTTCTCAGGATAGATACCTCAGCAACTACAAGATCTCACATTCCTTTCGCACTTCAATGTCTCAAATAACCATCTCACAAGACCCATACCAAAGGAAAGCAAATTTGATACGTTCGTGAATGATTCATTTGATGGGAACCCTGGATTTTGTGGAAAGCAGATAGCAAAAAAAATTCAAAATTTTAACCCCTCAAAGAAAGGAGAAGATCTTGCAGGCTCCAAGTTTCCATTCGAATTTGGGTAGAAATTAGTTCTTATAGGGCATGCAAGTGGGCTAAATAATTACGGAGTGGCTTTGAGCATGCTTATTCTGTAAGAACAAAGGTATCGTTTATGAAGATTTTCGAGAGGAAACCCATCAAAGTCAGGAGAAACAGTGTTCACAGAAACATAATATAATTAGCTTCGTTTCTTTCTCTTCAGAGTTAATTAGTAAAATGCAGCTTTAAGCATCATGTAATTGGCTTAGCATTTTGGTTTTGAAAATATATTGATTTTGAGTTGATGAAGTTATAAATTTGACTTATCAGAATCCTGAAGCTTTATTTACACCAAATGGGAAAGTCTCACTTTCATATGTTATAAAACCAAACAGAACAAAAATATTAGGAATAATGAATGGTAAAATTCTAAACCAAATTGCATGTTGATCAAATCCTCTATTGGATCAATCTGACACAATCCTTGGAGAGGCGTGCACAAATATTTAGATCAAACAAGCCATTTAAATCAACCTCTAAATGCCAAAATTTCTGCAACAATATTTATACAATCAACTAATTGAACTACTTAAGTCTGTGTTTTAGTAACCAAAATTTTAATACACATGGAGAGCAAACACAGCAATATTGCTGCCACTATAGAAACTCCAATTGGCAACATTGGTTTTTTCACTTGAACTTGGTGCAAGAACAGGAGGAGCACCAGTAGGACTAGACCCGAATCGAACTCAGTATCATCTGGAGTGGAGCCATTGGCCACGGGAGGTAGCGGTGGATCAACGATATCTGCTATATTCAGGGATGGGCTTGGGCCTTGTTGGCGGCTGTACTGGTTCAGGTATTATACTAAGCATATCCCCAGTGCAATTGGAAAATTGTATAGGCAGATCAGCATTGAGGTCAGAACATGGGCTTCCTGCAATTCTTAAAAGTGTAGTGAACTAAATATTTTTTTCTTGGGTTGCATGTAATCATCATTTTATTCAAAAGTTTTACACTTACTCAGATATTTGGAGGCAGGTAGCAGGAAACTCTGTTACAATCCCTCTACACCCATTCCTCCTATATAAGTTGCGAGTTCTATGACAGGATCTGCGAAGTAATCGAACGCAAGTGAAATGAACTCGTTTTTGAAAACTGAGACATATACTGAGATATTTGCACCATGCATTTCCTTTCAAACATTCGTAAAAGTTACAATAAAACCGTCTCTGACTGTAATGAGACTAGGTCTCAGGACAATAACTACATCAGCATACTTCTTGGTTTCCTCCACCGAATCTTTGGAGCATCGCTTACTTCGTTCTGAGGTGCAAGACTCTCTTATAGCACGGACACCAGAAAACTTGGACAACACGGACTGTCATCAGATGAGATCAATACTAGCTGAGTGGATTGCTTGTCAAATGTAGCATTACTTAAGGCTTTGGTGACAACATCTACTATGCCAAGACCCTTCTTGAAGCTAGATAAGCAGCATTCTGAGCAAGGAGGTTATATTAGAGAAGTGCTAATTAATAAGTGAGAATTTGTTAAGAAAAGTGAATGGTTACCTCTATGTTGATCTGAACTCCAGTAACTGCCTTGGTCTTTGCCAGCTCCAGGAATTCATCAATGGTCACAAATTTTCCTTGGTTCTTAGCTTGAGGGTTTCTTTGGAAGGTATCAGTTTCAGTTGCAAAAGGGCTTTCCATTTCAGCTGAAGCAGTAAAAGTTTGACAAGTGAGGATGCTAGCTGAAGATTAGCAGGCAAACAAAAAGGGGAAATATTCAAAAAAAAAAAAAAATTAGCTTCAATGATTGAATCTCGCTCCACGTTAGATCGAACGAAAGATTCCCTTGTTTTGTTGAATTGCAGGAATACTGGTGACTCGAGACATGAAAGAGGTCATCACGGTTGTTTTTCCCATGAGGTCTGGTGAATCCAAGCAGAAGGCAACTCCATCTTTTGACATTTGAACTGAGCAGTCGATTATGTCAGTTCCGTCATCGATCGCTTGCTGATATGCCAAATCGTACTGCCAGGATAAACCCCACTTGCCCCATTGTGAGATATGATCAAAGGTTTCCCTGGAAAGCATAGAATTTTACATTAACATTACAGTGCACTTATTCATCTTGTGCATCTAAAATTTGTGTATAAGATTAGGATCTTACCTCTGACAGGTTTGGTAACATTGTTTAGTGCAAAGCATGCTGCATCAAAGAAAATAGTTGGAGTGTAATTCAGAGAAATTCTCAAGCACAACATGTCAGATAACTGTTAGACAAAATCTCTGGCCAAATTTCTTGAAGAATTGCAAACCTATGCTTTCTGATGCTGTAGGAGGAAAATCTGTGATAAATCCGTCACAGCAAACTGCGAGTTATCAATAATTTCAAGTACTCATTTGATGGATCATAGCTGTAATTGTAGCTTAGTTGAACATCATTTTCAAAACCAGAAGCATATACTTCTAGTCCTTCTTTATGAGTATCAGTCACAAGAGTAGTTGCAGGATCCAGATATCCTGTTTTATTATTAATGGGAAATATGTAATTTTTCGGGACACAATGCCGGAAGCAAAAGATTTGATTGCGGTAAGATTCTTCAAGATTTCACTGTATGTTTGATTGGTTGTTGGTTCAACTTCATTCGGGTTGAGGAACACGAAAACGTGCTTGTCCTTGCCTTGTTCACCTTCCCACCAATGGCCTTCAGAAAACCAATCTCAGGAGATGATAAGTAATTTATGCCTCCAACTCTGACAGACTTCTGAAGATAGCCTTCCACATGAGGTTGTGTTGAGAATAGAATGTGTCATATGTTAGGGCCAAAAATCGTCTTGGGCTTACGGGGCCAATAACGAAATAACATGTCACGGCCCAAGGCCTCAACCCAATCCCGATTGAGCCCACGCTTAAAATCACCTTGCGACCTACCCACTCTATGAGTTGGGCTATCCTATAAGTTAAGCTAAACTGGGTTTCAGCCCATTGCCTGCAACAGTATAAATAGGAAATCAGAATCTCATTCTATTTCCTCTTCTACTAAGATTTCAAATCTACTCAAACTATTACTTGATCTGATAAGGTCAAAAAATCATATCTTTTTAATAGGGATTATCTCCCAAAATAGGACTTAGTGTCTACTAAGATTCTAACTCTTATTTAAACTATTAAACTTGATCTGATAATGTCAAGAAATCATATCTCTTTCATGATAGGGATTATCTCCCAATAGGACTTAGTGTCCTACTAAGTTCCAACTCTTATTTAAACTATTAACTTGATCTGATAGG